AAGCCCTGGGGGCGGCACAGGTAAACGTGCTCGTGTAGACTGCCCTGAAGGAAAGGTGTGGAGAAGTCGAGGGAGTGCAGCTTGTAATCACGCTATGCTGCTACGTATAGTAGTGCCCGAAGAGTACTCATCTTTGGGTTCGGGGCGAAGGTCTGAAAGGAGTCCACCTCCTCACGCTGATTGAAGCCTCGAGCAACGTAGCGCGCCTTGAACACTGGCGGCTCTCCAGGAGGGCGCTTCACCTTGAAGAGCCATCGGCCATCGACTACGTTCACCCCAGGTGGGGGAACTACGTCGACAAAGGTACCGGTGGATCTCCAAGATGCCATCTCTTGCTCCATGGCAGCTATCCACTGAGAGTCCCAGGGTCCCGAAGTCGCCACAGCGTAGGTGCAAGGGGTTGGGATGTGAAGGGCGTCTGGGTCACCCTTAGGGACTAGTAGCATGGAACAGATATGGGGAGTGGCCTTTGACAGGAAAGCAAGCTCGTACTATCTGTCCTCTAGGACGTCACTGCCAAGGGCAGCCACACCCCCGACGGGCGGAGGGCAGGTAGGGTCAGAGACCAGAGCTGTAGCGTAGTCAAGGCGGTGAAGCCAATAACAGCCGCGACAAGTGCCGACAGCCTCGAAACAGTAACGAACGGGTCAGTAACAAGAGAGGCAAGGACACGAGGGACAAGGGGACGTTCTGCACGGAGGAAGTAAGAGAACAGAGGGGGGCCCACAGCGAGCGAGGACGGAGGAGGAGACGGGAGGAGGGGAGGAGCACGAGATACGTGGGAGCAAAGAAACACAGGGTGGGAATGCTGAACAGGGGAGGTAGGACGAGCACGAGACAGACGAAGAGCGCAGACGTGAGACAGAGGAGTGGGGTCAGGAGAGAGAAGAGTAGACAAAGGAGGAGAACGAGGGGGGAAACGAGCCGGAGAAGAGTCCGGCGGAGGGAACATGGGGCCGGAGACCGGCAGAGGAGGAGGCAGTGGTGACAGAGGAGGCACTGGCGGGAGGGCAGGGGAAGGAAGACCGAGGAGACAGCGGCAGCGGCTGCGGCGGCCGACTGACGCCAACAAAAGAACCTCCAGCAGCACCACGGCTCGCTCCAAGAAGCTCCACTCCAGCACCTCCAGAACCGGAACCCGCTCCAGCACGCTCCCCAACACCCCCAGAGCGCACTACCCCCAACACCGGTGACAACGGAGGCTGCGGCCGCGGCGTCCACGGCAGCTGTGGAGGCGGGTGGGGCTGCGGCAGCACCGGCGACGACAGAGGAGGAGGGACCGGGGCAGGGACAGGCGGTGGAAGAGACTCCGCGGAGCCACGAGAGTCAGCAAACTCCTCGGCATGGACACCTGATGGGAGAGGGGTGACGTGAGACACACCAGACGGGGCAGGGCGGGAAGGGGGGGGGGGGCGGGGCGACCAGGGAAGGGGTAACCAGGAACAAGGGGGGGGTAACAGGGGGACCACGGTGGTGGTAAAAGGAGACGTTGCGGGAATGAAAGAAACGATGAGACGGCGGGTGGTAGAAGTGCAAGTCAAACGAGTCGAGGGGGAAACCTAGAAAGACACAGGGGACAGCTTGGGCAGTGAGCTTGTCCGTGCCAGAGGCACGAACGTGAGCAAGGCAACCCCAAACGTGGAACACAGATGCGTCACCAGGAGACCCGGTCCAGAGGAGGGTCGGCAAAACCTGCGGCCGCTGAGGGTGCGGCACAGGTTAAGGTGGTGAGCGGCGTAGCGAACGGCGAATGGCCACAGAAAATGGGGTGCACCGGCATGGATCATGGAGGTACGAGCCACCTCCATGACCAAACCGACGCATCGCTCAGTAACCGCATTCTGCTGTGAGGATTCCGGCAGGGTGTACGTCTAGGTGATGCCCTCCGCACGACAGAAATGACCAAGGGAACAAGAGGCTTACTTTCCACCACGGTCAGAGTGAAGACGCAACACAGGGAGACCTCGATGAACACGTGTAGAGACAAGCCACGGGATAAGAACGGCAGGCACGTCGGCCTTCCGCTCCAGGGGAACCACCGTGGTATAGCACGTGTAGTCGTCGACAAGCACTAGGAATTAGCTCTCGCGACGTGGCCCATGGACGAGGGCCAGGCCCCAGACGTCCATGTGCAGGGTCTTCAGCGGTGCGGTGGTGGGGAGGAACGAGGAGTGGGGGGCACAGCGAGCCGTCCCTTGACGCAGGGGGTGCACGGTGGCATTGCCGAGGGGGGGAGCATAGGGAACGACGAAGGGAGACCTAAGATAAGACCGTGCTGAGAAATATGACGAATTCGCATGAGGGCGGGCTGACCTAGGCGGTGGTGCCACAGGAGGGACGGGTGAGTAAGCGACTGGCACGAGCAAGCCGCAGCAACCTGGGTAGACCCTGCCACCTGGGTGTGCATTCCATCTGGGGGGGACGCAGTGTCCAGCGTGAACAGGCCAGACACCGGGTCCCGAGGGAACGTGGTGAGGGGAGCACCAATGGCGACCTCGGTACAGACAGTGTACCGCTCGTCACACGGGAACGTAGTGGTGACGCCAAGGTCCTAAAGACAGCCGACACCAACTAGGTTCCGAGAGAATGAGGGGATGTGCAAGCCTGTAAGAGAGCCCGAAGGAACCGCCGGACAGGGGAGGGTGGTGGAACTACGGGCGACTACCGGACCGAAGGAAGGGTCTGCAAGGGCAACTGCGCCAGGGACGGCAAGCGGCGTAAGCGTAGTGTGGTCCCGAAAGAAACACCGAGATGCGCCAAAGTCAAGAGTGAAGGAGAGCGCGTAGTGGCGGCTGGGGGCAGAGGAGCTAGGGTGGAGCCAAGGCTAAGCAAAGCAGGGGATCCTACGCCTGACGCAGTAGGGAAGCCTTAACTAGGCACACTGGGCACACCTACACTAGGCAACACGGGATAATAGGAACCACTCACACTAGATTCATCGACATACAGCACACACAAGGCAGAGCTTATCTCATCCATGTTCATATTAAAGATCCTAACACCGCAGCGGAGCAGACTGTGCCAGTCGGGGAGGTCCGGCGCCGAGCCGAAGCGGAGACGAAACAGGTCGTCTAGGCGACTGAAACAACGAGTGGGGGCATGTCCAATCTTACCGCACACGAGGCCGCGACGAGGACCGGTCTGGAGGTGGTACTGGCGGCGCCCGTCACTCGCGCCACCACCCGATGACACGCTGCGCACACGACCACTGCGACCACCTCCACCACCGGCGCCAGGCCACCCAGGCGGTAGACAGCCGACCCGTCGCCGCTGCTGCTGCTACTGCTGTGGCTACGGTGGCACCTGCTGCTTCTGCTGCTATGGCTGCTGCTCAGAGGGACCAACCCCAGTGCCCTCGTCGGAAGTACCAGCAGGCAAACCACCTCCACCCCCGCTGCCACCCCCTCCTCCGCTACCTCCGCCGTGCCCAGCCTTGGGGCGGCGACCCTTACCCAGACGAAACTGCGCTGCGGCGGCTGTCTCCGCGGCAAGGGTTGTCTCAACGACAGCAACAGAACCGTCAGAGTAAGTGCACTGAGTGGGGGCACAACCCTGAAAGATAGGGATTGGTGCACTACCGCTAGACTGGACAATAGAGCGCTGACGAGTCTCTATAGCAGACAGGGTGTCGACAGAGTCAGTGAGGGTGAGGTCTGCAGGGTGGAGACTAAGAAATTGATCGCGGGCAGTAGCAAGGCGGTCAGGGAGGCGGGTGGCAAGCAGGTAGAGGTTGGAGCAGATGGGGGAATGAAACACACTAAGCTGGGCCTCAATGCAGGCAGCGCGCCAGGTCGAGTCTAGCGTGTGCTAGTGCGTGACGAGGTCAGCGAGAGTGGAGAAGGACGCGAGATCAGGAAAGAGCATGGGCAGGGTCAGGCAACCGACAGAGGCAGAGGGCAGGGTGGAATAGCGAGCGACAATAACCTCTAGGAATTCCTGCGCAGTTCGGACCGACCGAAAGTGGGGGCGCTCAGACTTGGGTAGGGCATGACTAATCACGAGCTATGCGACAACGTCCCGCGACAACCAGACAGCACAGGCAAGGGCAGCAGCGGCAGCGGACTCACTGTTAGCAGGCGTGGGATCAGCGGGTAGAGCAGCCGGGGGGACAGGACAAGGTAACGTACCGTCAATGTGGATGGCCATGGAGTGGCCGTCCTGCCGCTGACCAGTGAGGTGATGGCTGAGGTCAACGAGCCACGTGTCGAACTCGACCAGCTGACCCTCCGCGTTAAAGCGCAGCACCGAGTCCGCCATCCTGGTCACTGCAGCAGCTGACAGGCGGTAGTGGGCTGTACTGAGCGAAGGAGTGCGACAAGGAGCAGTGGTGAGCGGTGCGGTGCAATGCAGTAGAGAGCGGGGCAGTACGGTGGAGCGCGGTGCAGTGCGGTAGAGTGCGGTGGAGTGTGGTGGGAGGGGCCGACGTGGTTGCGAGGCGGTGGAGCAGCGGGCGGCTGAGCGTCGGGGTCAGCTAGGCGGCTAGGCGCCGGGGCCGCAGGGACGGCTAGCGAACGGGGCCGCGGGCGGTTAGGTGACGAGGCCGGCTAGGTGGCTAGGCGACAGGGCCGCGGGTCTGATAGGTGACGGGGCCGCGGGGCCGCTAGGGGTCGGGGCGGTAGGGCCGCTAGGGGACGGGGCCGCAGGGCCGCTAGGGGACGGGGCCGCGGGGCCGCTAGCTGATGGTGCCGCGGGGCCGCTAGGTGACGGGGCTGGGGGGGCGCTAGGTGACGGGGTCGCGGGGCCGCTATGTGACGGGGCTGCGGGGCCGCGGGGCCGTGGGGCCGCGAGGTGACGGAGCCGCAGGGCCGCGGGGCCGCTAGGTGACGGGGCTGCGGGGCCGCTAGGGGACGGGGCCGGCACGGGCGACGAGGCGGCTAGGACCTACGGCGGAAGCGCTGGTGGGCGGGGGGGACCTAACCTACTCATGATACCATATCAAAGTGAACAAATGGTTTAGAATGCGAGGATACAAGGATATATAGCCTAGGGTGTTGTACTCTCTATGGTCTGACCCTATGTAGTCTATGCACACGGTTTCATACAGCATCTATGTCACAAGGCACAACTGTCCACAATGAGCTTGTTACGGCTTACTGTTATGGAATAGAACCATAAACGGAAGGGAGGACACACGTAAGCAGGGAAAACAAGAAGGCGGTGAGGCTTCAGGGGTGCCGGCAGCCATGGACAGAACTTGCCCTTGTTGGAGTAATCTCAACACGCTTCCCATGCGAAACCACTTTAATAGTACAAGGCTGATGCTGGACGCCTGTAGACATTACTCGTGAATTCTCCACCAATGTCATATCTTCTGTTGCTTTTTGCCTGCCGTATCTCCTCTTGGTCGCTGTTTAGCGCGCCATCTGCTGTCCAGTAGGCGGCGCCTTGCCCGCAGCCATGAAGCGTCTCGTGTTGCCGGAATAGCCTAAAAACGAGTCATGGATCCATGGTGGAAAACAGGGGAAAAAGGACGAGGGGAAAGCGGTGAGTGCAGGCAGCAGCCTGCACTGACGGCGCCTTGCCTGTAGCCATGAAGCATCGCGTGTTGCCGGAGTAGCCTTCAAAATGAGGTGTGGTGTCATGGTGGGAGGTGGGGGGAAAGAGATAAGGGGGGGGAAACAGGTCAGTCAGAAGCTGCATGCACTGGCAGCACTTCACCCGCAGCCATGAAACGATGAGTGTTGCCAGAATAGCCTTATAACGAGAATGGTTGGGCCACGGTGGGAGTAGGGAAAAAGAGACAAGTGGGGGGGAAATATGTCAGTCAGAAGCAGCCTGCACTGGCGGCACTTCACCCATTGGCATGAAGCGATGAGTGTTGCCCGAATAACCGTAAAACAAGGCTACAGGGAGACAGGTTGTGGAGGGAACAGGGTGCAAATTTCTGAAGTTAAGAGGAAAGCAGTCAGTATAAGCATTAGTCTTCTGTAAGAGGCACTCCACCCACAGCTTTGAAGCTGCATGTAAACCATGAGATAATTTTTAGGTTCCTCAAAAGCAGTCAGTTTTAGCAGTGTCTTCTGTGAGAGGCAGTCTACCCACAGCTTTGAAGCGGCATGCAAACCATGAGAGGATTTTTGAGGCGCCTCAAAAACCATGAGAGAACCCACGACTAGAAATGGGTACCTCTCATGGGTGTGTCGTTATACCCGAATAGCATTGGGAATGGGGAGAGGGAAAGGAAATTGCAGGAGATCTAGCCAGTGCATAAGCGATGAGTGTAGCCCTTACAGCCTTGGATAATGGGAGAGTGGAGTAGAACAGACAGCGACGCATAAGGGGCCACTTGTGAAGACGGGTGAACGAGAGGATGGGTATAGGACGAGAACGAGCAAGACAAGGGGGAAAACAAACGATTACATAGTGCTTTCCGTTAAACTCGCTGAGTATACCGAGCCTCCCCAACTCACCGAGCCTAAAGCTTGCCGAGCCTCTGCCTTACCGAGCCGGGGCTACAGCCTCAGAGTCTCAGACTTAACGAACTTGGGCTACAGCCTCAGACGTACCAAGCCTGGGCTCCCAGCCTCGGTTCTTGAGCTCGCGGGACTCCTGGCAGATGGCGCAGAAGAAGCAGTAGAAGTGCACGCAACAGTCGCCGCACGGCTTGGCTGGCAGCATGTACTTCTGCCGCAGCTTCTGGCGGAAGCCTGATGGGTGGTGAGAGTGGGGGGGGGGGATGGTTAGTTGAATGTGGGGTGAAGGGCGCAGGGCGCAGGGTGTAAGGCGCGCCTTAACAGACATGGCTTGGCTGGCAGCATGTACTTCTGCCTCAGCTTCTGGAGGAAGCCTGATGGGAGGAGGGAGTGATAGGTATTGAGGGCAGGGTGCAAGGTAAATTCGAAATATAGGTGTCTTCTGAGTTGACTGGCAGCAGTCGCAGCACGGCTTGGCTGGCAGCATGCACTTCTGACGCAGCTTCTGGCGGAAGCCTGGTGCGAAGTCAGGGGACAAAAGATTGGGAATTGACGGATGGGGGTGGGGATGGGGATGGGGATGGGGATGCCTGGAGTGGGTGTGTGGGGTATGGGAGTGGAGTATGGGAGAGGATCTAGTCGATTTCAGGGTTTGGGATCAGATTGGTTGAACGGAAAGCTGCAAGAGGACGAGAAAAGCAAGAGGAAGAGACGACGCCGAGAAAATCGGACGCAGAGGCGTACAATCTACTGCGTTACAGTATGATCCGTTACAGGCTGCTTCGTTAACGTCATACCCGACTTACCGCAGGAATAGAAGCAGCCGAGACCGAGTAGAATCTCGAGGAAGAACCAGAGGCAGCAGGCAGTGCCGAAGTCTGGCGGGCGAACAGGGGAGGGGAGGGGAGGGGAGGGGAGGGGAGGGCACAGGAAAGGAACAAAAAGGGCACACGGGAAAAGGGGGCTACATGTGGATGAAGCGAGGGAATAGAGGAGCAGAGGCAGCAGGGAGTGCCTGAGTCTGGCGGGGGATAGGGAGAGGAAGGAAGGACAGAGAAGGGCACACGAGAAAAAACGGGGGCTGCATGTGGGTGAAGCGAGTTGTATTTTGAGTCGACTCAAAATACAACGGGTGAAGCGAGGAAGTAGAGGAGTAGAGGCAGCCGAGACCGAGCAGAGCGTCAACGAGGAGCCAGAGGCAGCAGGCAGTGCCGCAGTCTCATGGGGGATAGGGAGAGGAAGGAAAGACACCGGGAGGACAAGGAAAGGGAAGAAGAGGGAAACACAGGGGAAATGGGCCTCTCATTACATTGCCGCCGTACAGCGCAGTCGTGATTCTGAAGGTGATTTGTGAGTCCACAAAAAAAATCACCTTTTTTAGCCTCTCATTACATTGCTGCCGTACAGTACAGTCGTGATTCGTAATGGACGCGAGCTCTAACCGGGGATGGTCAGGCTAAAAAAAGCACGAAGGACTGACGACGGGGAAGGTGAAATATCCACGGTGACATTTCCGTTGTGACCTGCTTGCCGCGTGGCGCTCGACGATGACCGTTGGTGCTTGAAAGAAAAGGGAGCCACTTCACCTGTGTTTCCGTCCGAAACGATATTGGCGTTTCGCCCGACGATGACGCACGGGCAGAAGAGGGCGCAGCAACCTGCAGATAAACATTTGCAACCAAAAAAAAACAGGAGGTTAAGAGAAACGAAACAAAAACACAAACAAGAGCAAAAGCAAAAGGCGCGCAGCCCGGGAAAATAGATTTTGCGTACACGAGCCGCGGTCCTCCATGCAGCCGCAGAGGCCGGTCGTCCACGCGCCCATAGGCACGGAAGACGGAGGCACCGCCATGGTTGGGTGCACTAGATTCGCGTGTCTGGCGCAACAAGCCCACGATCCTGGTACCCTTGGGATTCGCGTGTCTGGCGAGTTCGTTGACGTGCCGTAAACAATCGCTCCTTCCCCCTTTGCGCAGCCACCAGCCCGAATGATTCCGACAAGCTTCACGGGTTCGAGTGTCTGCCGCAAAAAGCCTCACGACCCAGGGACCCTGGGGGTCCGCGTGTCTGGCGCGTTTGTTGACGTGTAGTAGGGATAGTTGCCGCAATTGCTCCTTCCCTCTTTCCGCAGCTGCCGCCCCGAATAGTTCCACGGGGCCCGCGTGTTTGGCGTGTTTGTACTTGGCGTGCTGTTGACTTTTGGTCCTAGGAGATGGGTTGATTGATCCTAGCAACAAGGACTCGATATTCGGAACAGACCGCGCTGTAACAGGTAGCAGTAGCCTCGCAGTAGTCTCGAGCCCTAACTCTGTATGTTTTTTTAGAAGTTCAAATAACCTTTCGCAGTAGCCTCGCGTCCGAACTCTGAATGCTGCCGCAAATGACCTCGCGCAGGGGGACTAGGGAAATGTTATATTTTTGTGGAGGGATGTTTTTGGTGTATTTCGCAAAGTCTACGACTGAAGGGCAGTAAAATGACACGATGGTGCGGAAAATCGGGGTAGAGCGGGAGAGGAGACCGCGGGATCTATTTTCGAGGCTCTATACTCAAATCGGGGGAGAGAGGGAGCGGGGACGCGCGGGATGATGTGGTTTCCCCGCGAAACGAGTCGTTGCCTCCATGCTCTTGAGCCAACCTCGCCTTTCCACACCTCGGCTTTCCACACCTCGCCTGTCCACACCCCGCCTTTCCACTGGGGTCTAACGGGAAGGTCCGCGCGGGACGATTGAAACGCCGAGCTAGAGATGGCGGAGAGAGCGCGATGAGCTAGAAATGGGTAGGATGGTCACCACCATGTGGTATGCAATGAGAATCGCGTTCCTGACGCGAACAAAATGGAGGAGAAAGGATTTTGAGTGCTCTACGAATTCGAAGGGACGCTTGCGCTTATCGTTTCTCAAGGAAGCGGAACATTGAGTCGCGCTCGCACGATCACTTAAAAACGCTGAGTACCGTGTTAGACCCACGCTATAAACTGTTTCACCGCAGTTAACTGTCTGCGAAGCCTTAAAAACATCCAGACTGGGTGCGATTAGGGGAATTCGGAGGCAATGTTCCGCGCACTAGATTGGGGGAGGGTGCGGCGCATGCAAACAGGATTCCTACCGCCCGACAAACAGATGGTAAGCGCGCGCAGTGAAACAAGGGCTGGCGGGGAAATTGAACCGGAAATGCTTCTTCGCTGCGACTGCTGCGTCTGCGTCCCGCCCCTCCCCCTTCAAACATCCATCCATCCATCCCATTTCAGCAGCTCCCCAATAATGTTGGGTCAAACGGGAAGGCGAGCCGAGCCGCGAGGTGAACATTATTGGTGAGCTGCCGCAATGCACGGAGGGACGCCAGAAGCTACATGGTATCGCAACATTTGTAAAAAAATCTACATACGATATATTCGCATATTTTTAAAACGATGCAAAAATCCATCCATCATTCACCTCTTTGTATGACAACATGCAGCACTTTCATGACATTGAAAATCAGAACAGTTTACACTAGTCCTATACTGGTTTCCTAAAACTGGGTGAGGAACACATAAGAGGTTAACACCCACGCCCGGTTTCTAAAAACAAAACAAACTTGAAGAAAAGAGAAAATAAACAGCAGGGATGGACCAAAGGCGATGTAACAAGCACTGTGCCTCTCCAACCATCTTATTATCCCTGAGCCTGCAGCTGAAGGCATTGAGATATTATTTACCATGTCCCACTTTCTTCGGTTCACCCCATTTCTGTCACATTTATCTTGTTGCAATCCTCTTGTCAGGCTTTTCAGCGTGCCATCCGCTGACCCGTGGGCGGCACTTTACCCGCAGCCATGAAACGACGAGTGTTGCCCGAATAACCTTCAAACGAGGCAACAAGAAGAGGGGTAGTGGAGGAAGATAAGAGGGAAGTAAGGGTAAGGCAGTAATACTCAGCAGTAGTCTGCTGCCCTGTAGGCGCAGCTGTACATGCAGCCGTGAAGCGAGCATGCCTGCTGGAATAGCCATCGGAAAAATAAGACTGGTTAACGGGAGAGCAAGAGAGAACGATTGCAGTGAAGTCATTTCAACTCACCAAGCCTACTAGCCTAGAGTTTTCTGAGCCTTTGATTACCGAGCCTGAGCTGCAGCCTCGGATCTTAAGTTTCCCATACTCCTGGCAGAGAGTGCAGTAGAGGCAGTAGAAGTGCACGCAGCAGTTGCTGAAACAGTTATTGAGACTTGGACTTACAACCCATCAGGCCTTGGAGTCACCGAAGCTACTGAGCCTCGGGCTTACCGAGGGCTAGGCTCTCAGCCGCGGTTATTGAGCTTGTGGTATTCCTGGCAGATGGAGCGGTAGAAGCAGAAGCTGGCACAAAGCAGTCACCACAGCAGTTACTAGGTTTCTGGGCTTACCGAACCTTCCAAGATACCGAACCTAATAGCCTCAGGCTTACCGAGGCTCGGCTCCCAGCCACGGTTCTTGAGCTCGCGGTACTCCTGGCAGATGGAGCAGTAGAAGCAGAAGAAGTGCACGCAGCAATCCCCGCACGGCTTGGCTGGCAGCATGTACTTCTGACGCAGCTTCTGGCGGAAGCCTGGAGGAGGGAAGGGGGGGTATGGGGTATGGGGGATGGGGAAACGGGGAGTGTAGTGGGGAGAATGTTGTTTGAGTCAACTTCAAGGGTGCACGGCTTGGCTGGCAGCATGTAATTCTGACGCAGCTTCTGGCGGAAGCCTGGAGGTTGGAGACCAGGGGATGGGGAAGCGGGGATGGAGTATGGGGGAAGACTTTTGAGTCGACTCAAAAGTCACCCCGGGAAAATTGTGGCACCCAGGCAACATGGCCTGTCTGGCAGCATTTACTAGTTTTGAGACGTCGCAAAACCCGCCTACTTAACCACGGGAGAACAGGGGAGGGGGAAACGGGGATGGAGTATGGGGGAGAATTGTGGCAGCCCAGGCAACGCGGCCTGGCTGGGAGCAATAGGGGATGGCAACGCGTGACGCAGTTTCTGGCGGAATCCTGGCTGAAAGACAGCGACAATAGGGGATGGGGCATAGGATATGGGCGATAGTTGTTCCCATGCACTTCTGACAATAGGGGATGGGGCATAGGATATGGATGATAAAAGTTCCCATGCACTTCTGACAATAGGGGATGGGACTCAAAATGCACGGCTTGGCTGGCAGCATGCACTTCTGGCGCAGCTTCTGGCGGAAGCCTGGAGTGTGGTGGGGAGTAGAGCACAGTGATGGGTGCGGAAGGTAAGGTTAGCTGTGCGCCTTTTGAGTCGACTGGAAATGCACGGCTTTGCTGGCAGCATGCACGCCTGGCGCAGCTTCTGGCGGAAACCTGATGGGTGGCCGGAGAGGGGCACATAGAGTGCTTTCGACCAGGGAGATAGAGCGTATTTTAGAGTCCAATCAGCATCCGAACCACGGGCAGCAGCAGGTGGGGTTACTTCTTTGAGAAAGCTCAATAAGCCAGGGAGGGAGCCTGCTTTTCAGTCCAATCAGCAGCTGAGCCCCGGGCAGCAGGAGGGGTGATAGAGCAAGCCCTTCAGTCGACTTTTGGGGCTCCTAAAAAATAGAGTCGAATCAACATCTGAATCACGAGCAGGAGCAGGCGTTGTTGTAGAGCAAGCACTGGAGCACACATCCAGCCAGTCACACAGGTCACAGGCCACTGTATACCTCGTTACGTTCTGCTTCGTTAAGCCTACAAGCATCTGAACCACGGGCAGCAGCAGGCGGGGTTGTAGAGCAGGCCCTGGAGCATACTTCCAGTCAGTCACACAGGTCACAGTAACCTGTATACCTCGTTACAGCCTGCTTCGTTAAGCCCATAAGCATCTTACCGCAGGAGTAGAGGCAGCCCATGCCGACTAGAATCTCAATGAGGAACCAGAGGCAGGAGGCGGTGCTGAAGTCTGTTGGGGGATAGGGCAGGGCAGGGAAGAGCAGAAGGACAGGGAAGGGCAGGGAAGGGCAGGGAAGGGCAGGGAAGAGCAGAAGGACAGGGAAGGGCAGGGAAGGGCAGGGAAGGGCAGGGAAGGGCAGGGAAGGGCAGGGAAGGACACAGGGGAAAAGTGGCCACAGTGTGGAGCGAAGCAGGGAACTTGAGGAATAGAGGAAAGCCTCAATGAGGAACCATAGGTAGCTGGCCGTGCCGAAGTCTGGTGGGCGAAAGGGAAGGGAAGGGAAGGGAAGGGTACAGGGGAGAAGTGGGCAGAGTGTGCGGTGAAACAGGGAACTTCAGGAATGGAGACAAGCCTCTACGAGGAACTAGAGGCAGCAGGCAGTGCCGAAGTCTGGTGGGCGAAAGAGAAGGGAAGGGAAGGAAAGGGAAGGGCATAGAAGAGCAGGGAAGGACAGACTCACAGGGAAGGACAAAGGGGAGGATGGACCGAACAGGCAATAGAGGCAGTAGAACCTTGGGAGGTGGAAACACAGGTGGCAAGGCGTGGCGAATTCAGGTGGGGAAAGGGTGTGGATGAAACACAGGGCAAAAGGGGAGGGAGGGGGGGAAGGAGGGGGGGGGGGAGTGTGGATGAAACGGGCGAATGGAGGAGTAGAAGCACCCGAAAGTGCACGTACCCGACAGAGTGTGGCTTCCCTGGCTTACCTGTAAAGCCGTCCGTTACAATCTCCGCGTTTCGCTTGAGTCACTTGAGAGTTCCCGCTAAATAAACCCGAGCGGTGGGTAAAGGAAACGACGTACCTGTGAAGCCATCCGTTTCGATCTCCGCGTTTCGCTTGAGTCACGCGAGTCCCCGTTGAAGCCAGGGCATCAAGTAACGCAACTGTTTTGCAGTTGGAGACCGGGTAACCACACCCCAACTGTTTTGCAGTTGGAGACCGGGTAACCACACCGCAACTGTTTTGCAGTTGCTGCCAGATCTGGGTACATAATACCCTGGATTTAAATTCACCTGGGCGGTGGGTGAAGGAAACGACGTACCTGTGAAGCCATCCGTTACAATCTCCGCGTTTCGCCCGACGACGATGCACGGACACCAGAGGGCGCAGCAGCCTGCAGAGAACAAGAAGTTAAAGACAAGAACCGAAAAGGGAACACCAAGGAGGAGAAACGATTTTCGGCGGGATGATCTATGTCACGTCAGAAATCTCGTCAAGAATCACGTCAGGAATCCACCCAAAAATCGCGTCAGGATCAACCCAAAAATCGCGTCAGGAATCAACCCAAAATCATGTGAGGAATCACGTCGAGAGTACGGGAAGAAGGAGCCGTACACGAGCTGCAGTCCTCCACGCAGCCGCAGAGGCCAGTCGTCCACGCGCTCAGGGTGCAGAACGAAAGTTTCAAGAACCTACAACTCGAAAGGGAAAGAGACACACGTACACGAGCTGCAGTCCTCCATGCAACCGCAGAGGCCCGTAGTCCACGTGCCCATCGGCACGGAAGACGGAGGCGTCGCCATGGTTGTCACTTTCGAGTCGCGTCCTCTTGCCCACCTCTCCGCGTGATGCTCGTTCCAAACCACTCGTTCCCAACCGGGCGCTTGTGAAGAAATCAACCTTGGGAATTACGGGGAACGAGCGGTTGGGAACGAGCGGTGGGATTATCTTGAGAATTCCCAACCAGACGCTTGTGGAAAATTCAACCTTGAGAATTACGGGGACCGCGGGATTGACGGGATTGCGTTGGTTGACGTGCAGTTGAAAGGGCTCCTTCAAAACCTAACAGCAATGAAAAGACCGCGTAAGTGTCGGCTCGTTACCCGCCTAACTTGGAATGCTACCGGAAACAATTTCGTGGAGGCGACATCATGGGAAAATAAGAAAAATTGCGTGTGCATATTGCTACAAATGAAAGAGATCATAAATCCGCTGGAGCATCTCGGCAAAACAATTCGGCTAGCAGAATGAGGTGGAAACTTTTGAGTCGACTAAGAAGAGATTTACGAATAGCTGAGGGAGGATGGCGGACCCGCAGAATGTGGCCTGGACACCAGAGAAGGCAGAAGCCTCGCCGAATGTGGCTTCTCGCTGCTTACTAAAGCCACGGCACTGGCCTTTCGTTCGAGCTGCACCCGCCTTTCCACACGGGCGGGCCGGGATGGGTTCGCAGGGACGACAGAAGATCCGAGCTAGAGGCAGTGGGGAGAATGGGCGATGAGCAAGAAAACGTTAGGATGGGATGCGATGAGAATTGCGTTCCTGACGGCTTCGTAAGAACCGAATGGATTTTTGTGGGCGCTATCAGTGCCAAGAAGGGCGCTTGCACTTTTCTTGTCGAATGGCGGGAGGTGCGGGAAGTACGGCAACGAGGCAGCGAGGGCGAGGGTGGGGGGTGCGAGGATGCAGGGCTCATCGCAGAGGCTTCCGCAAAATCAGACGAACGAGGTGCGCTACGCAACAATTGCCTCGCTGGGGTGGGGAGATCTGGCTGGAGCCTGGAGGGATCGGAGGAAGTGAGTCCGCCTCCCAATAATCGTGGCCTGCAGCACATCAACAGGGGAGGAGGCCCGAGCCGCGCTCTTCACCCCAACCAAAGCAACGTGAAATTATTGGAGACCAGAGAACGAGGCGCGTCCTGAAGGCACATTTCTTGTTGGTTTTCTACGGTTAAATCTGGTGCAAGACGGTGGAAAACGGTTTATATTCCAAAACCGATTCTTATCGTCACGCAGCGTACTAGACCGCATCATTCGTAACAAGTCCCGCAGACCTACCCCCCTCACTCGCCCTCAGCTGTGATGTGCTGTCATCGCAACAATTGTTCGATATCGTAGGTATACACTTCACCTGTTCTGTAGTTGAACTTCCTTTTTGGTAATTCAATATGCAACCACATGACTTTCCACACATACCTCAACCTCAACTCATTTCCCTCTAGTGACACAAAGAAACGGCTCTATCACAGTCGGCAGAAGATGAGCCTGGGCCAATGTCACATCACAGTACATGACTAGCACACAACAGACATAACACACCTATATTCCTAATATCACATGACCACAATAAAAACCCGTTGTCACCACACAAGATGGTTGTAGCAATACTCGGCACAGAAATTACACCCTACGAATCATCAGGTCCGCCAAGAAAAGCAGGCGAATCAGCAGGAGATGGACCAAAGGGAAGCGGCAAGGAGTCCGGGAGGGAAAAGCTGAGAGCCTTAGAGAGCTGTGGTTGGAACTGAAATTCCGACATTGCCTGCAGAAAGATAAGAGGGAAACCAGAAGAACAGGAGTTGATGCAGAACGAGAGAGGCAAGGCAAGGAACCTTGAAGAGAGAGTTTGAGGGGCTTTGGGAGCCGTGGTTGAAACTGAAACTCCAATACCACCTTTGAACGAGCAGACGGGAAAACAAATGGAGAAGGACCCAGTGCTGAGCTGGATTGATAGAGAGAAGCACCAGCACTCCCGTCCCTAGATTTTTTTAGCCTACATGAGCCACGCATCATACACGATACATCGTTTCCTTTTATGCAGATGAAAATGCTTGGACAAACCAAATGAGAGATGCACTAGTAATTACTAGGAGACTGAGAAAGGTGAGATTCAAAACCCTTTCACTCACCAGGGGGGGCAAGTAGACACTGCAGCAGCTGAAGGCACCGCTCAGCGGGTTGCTGCATGTTTGATCGAAATCACCTTCTCCATCCCCTTCCCCCTCAAGATCACACACAGCAGCCTCACAGGATCCATAGAACTCACCAAGGGCGTAAGTGGCTGCTGCAGCAGCTCAAGGCACCGCTCAGCCATGGTCGTCTATTTTTTAGGCACCTCAAAAATAGACTCCTCACGCAAGGATCTATCAAACTCACCAAGGGCGCAAGTGGCTGCTGCAGCAGCTCAAGGCACCGCTGGGCCGTGGTCGTCACTGCATCTGTCAGCGATGCTCCATCCCCTTCCCCCTCAAGGTCACGCAGAGCACCCCCCCCACAAGGATGCATCGAACTCACCAAGGGCGTAAGTGGCTGTTGCAGCAGCTCAAGGCACCGCCCGGCCGTGGTCGTCACGGCATCTGCCAACGATGCAGCCGATGCTCCATCATCCCCTTCCCCCTCCTGCTCTGCCTGCTTCTCATCCTCAAGAGAGGAGGCTTCTTGCATATCCAGGGGGTGGCAGGCTCCATACGGTGCTCTCCGCAAGTCACTGAGCAGCAGCAAGCCCCCTGGGGGACTCAGAAGCGCACTTTCTGCTGCTCCCTCTCCAGCAACGCCTTCTGCTCCTCCTGCCCCAGCTCTAGCGGACGACAGCACTGCGCCACCAAGCAGAGCCACAGACGCGGGCTCGGGCACAGTAGCACCGGGAGGAATAGCTGCAACTCCTGCAGCAGCAGCACCGGAGGCTGCAAAGAAGGCTGCCAGCTGAGGGGCGGCCAGAAACCCCCTCGGATCAGCCACACTCCTGTCTGAGAGAGAGGCGATCCCTCCCCCTTCGATATAGTCACCACTGGTCTCCTCAGCAGAGGAGGAAGTGCCTAGTGATGGATCTGCTGAGGCGAGGGAAGGCGGGAGCACAGGTGGGCGGGGAAGCAGTTGTCCAGGAAGGTTCTGAGAACCGTCTGCGGATCGTTGAGCTGGAGTGTGAGTGACAGTGCTGGTGATGCTAGCAGTGGTGGCACTGGGTCTGGTGGCACTGGGTCTGGAAGGTTCTGCTTCTAAGGGCAGTGGCACTGTGGCCGGGAAGAGGAGGTCGTACGACGAGCCCGAGGTGTGGCTTGGGCTGTGGATGAGGTGATTGGTGAGCCTTGTGGCTGCGGATGGCAGAGAGGCAGGGGACTGTATGTGGAGGTGTGCTCTGCTGGTGAGGAGAGAATCCACTTGCTTCTGCCATGGCAAAGGGCGACAGAGGGATGGAAAAGATGTGAAGTAGACGCATGGGATGGCAGTGAGGAGGGCAGAGAGGCAGGGGATTGTACGTGGAGTGGTGCTCTGCTGGTGAGGAGAGAATCCACCCACTTGCTTCTGTCAAGGGAAAATGTGGCAATTGGTGTCAGAGGAAGAGCAAGTGTGGGAATTAATGAGGTGGTGGCAGGGAGAGCAAACCAGGGGGAGGTGGTTGAAGAACAGAGGGGAGGGGAAGAACTAGGGTGCAGCAGGCGTGAACAGAGCAGGATGAAGTAGGGTGCAGCAGGCGTGAACAGAGCAGGATGAACTAGGGGAAAGAGGGTGGAGCTAGTAACCAGGGAAAAACAAGAAAGCCATGTTGAGAGTAATGAACTGAAAGTTACAGGACTGAAAGTTACAGGACTGAAAGTTACATGACTGAAAGTTACAGGACTGAAAGTTACAGGACTGAAAGTTAATAGATGCAAGCAAGGAGAGGCCAAATGGTATGCTTCGTTTCGTACACTTGCGGATGCTACCCTTTTGCTGATGTCATGCACCAGCTTCGCCTCGGCGTCAACCTACAGCGAGGATGCAACAAGGCAAAGAGACGCAAGGGAGAAAATAACCAACAGGCCTGCTTTCGAGTGGACTCAATCAATAGCCGAGTCAAAAGCACTCTCTTCCTCACGAGTTGCACCAACTTTGCCTCAGCGTCAACCTGCAGGGCGGATGCGGCAAGGCAAAAAGGCGAGAGGACGAACATAGCCAATAGGCTGATGAGGCACTGGAAGAGATGCTACTTAAAATGTGTCCGCAGCTCTACGAAGCAGGATACTGCCCTTCGCTTGGCATGTACAGCCGTACTGACTGACCCTGTGGTAACCAAACGCCTGTTCTGATGAGCCTTGGGAAAAAAACAGCTAAGGACCAGGAGGAATGGTCATGACTACAGATATAAGCACAACCTTTGCTGCACCCGTTGCAGCATGGCGTCTGACACTTACTAGTTTTGAGACACCTGAAAAGTAGGTTCCATAAACGCACCCCCTGCTGCACCCCCCTGCAACACGTCTGATACTCGTTGCATGAGGGGACGCGAGTGGTGGACGGAACAGACTATCTTTGAGGCGCCTCAAAAAGAGATTCCATGAACACGCATCCCCTGCTGCACCCCCCCTGCAACACGTCTGATACTCATTGCATGAGGGGACGCGAGTGGTGGACGGAACAGGAGCACCTACAGAGCAAATGTCTACAGGTTGCATGAACGCACCCTTTGTTGCACTCTTTGCAGCACGGCTTCTGACACTTGCTGCAGGAGAAGGAGCGAGTGGTGGATATGGCGATACGTGTCATCACGTGATAGGCCAGATGGAATCACTGCAGGGAGAGCGGCAGAATCAGCAGAAAAATATACGAACAAGCAAAATCAGGCATGAATTGGAAAATCTGAACGCGAAACTAAGTTAAGCTAAGCAGAGAGCAAATTAAGTAAACAGAAGCAACCCTGACACAACCAACCACGGACGTGCAAAGCGACAAGAACGCAGTGTAAATTTGGCGCAACAACTGATAATCTAAGATATTCGCGGATATTGCAGATTGTGTCAGACTAAACACCTAGCCGTTTCGTGCGAAAGGCGGCGCGCTAAGGACGGAGCTTACGAGGAATCTCGACGATACGTCCAACCATGGCCAGTCAGAAGAATCGGCAAAATCCAAAATCCACGTCCTCCAATCACCGCAGATTAGCCCTTCGCCAGAGAAATCGTACCCCTGGCACCAGAATATGGAGTGTTTTCAGTGCCCTAGCGGCATGAGAACATCATCGTGCCTAATGATTAAGGATGACCTAGAAGTTACTAGGTGTATATGTCAGCTTCTGCTGCTGTAATCACTTCTCCTGCTGCACTCCCCTGCTACGCTCGGCGTGCTACGCTCCGCCTGCTGCGCTCCGCCTGCTGCGCTCCGCCTGCTGCGTTCCGCCTGCTGCGCTCCGACTGCTGGGCTCCCCTGCTGCGTTCTCCCCGCTGCGTCCCGCCTACTGCGTTCCGCCTGCTGCGTCCCGCCTGCTGCGCTCCCCCTGTCACGCTCCCCGGATATGCTCCGCCTGCACGCTTGGTGCACTACCAACACTGCGTTCCGCCTTCTCCGCTCCTCATAAGGGTCGTGGATTCCGAGGCGATAGCCAGCCACTCCAGGGCACGACGAAAAATCGCGCTAAAAAGAAACCTTCCCTGATGTTCCTATGCTGTATCATGTGGTGCTGTTCCAGAGCAACCGGCGCTACAAAACCTGCACTTACTACGGATAGTTTATACAACAATTTGTCGCACCAATTCAAAAGGAAAACAGAGGGAATCTTTCTCACATTCACATACAAACAACACGGCCAAAAACCAATTTCCCTTTCTTCTAGTTGGATGCATCATGATTCATGTCCCCTTTCCCCTTCCCCCTACTCTCAATCTTCACGCCCCCTCGTCACCTCCCCCATTTGTTCCCCTGCATCATCATCAACTTTGTCCCCTTCCCCAACACTGCCCTCCCTCTCCTCCCCATCATTCTCCCCCTCTTCTTCCCCGTCTTCCTCTTCTCCCCCTTTGTTTTCATTCTCCTTATCTCCTCCTCTTGCTCTTCCTCCTATTCCTCCTCGTCTTCCTCTCCATCCTCCTCCTCTCCATCCCCTTCCTCCTCTTCCTCATCTTCTTCCTCTTCTTCCTCTTCCTCCTCTTCTTCCTCTTCCTCCTCTTCCTCCTCTTCTTCCTCTTCCTCCTCTTCCTCTGCTTCCTCCTCCTCTTCTTCTTCCTCACCCTCCATGCCCCACTTCCTATAGAGAATCTGAGCCTGCTGACATAAATACAAAATTTTGCACATGCGCAGCATTGGCATTTCCAGAAGAGACACCGGTAGCTGCTGCAGCTGCTCACAGGAGTCCACATGCAGCTGCTAAAGCCGGGGCAGCTGCGAAAGAGATTCAGGCAGGCTCAAAGATAACCCAATTGGCTCAGCTCTAGCTTCCTAAGAGAGGAGAGCTTCCAAAAGTTGTATGGAATGCGTGCAATTTTCGAGTTGAAAGAACAGAGTGCTCTAATTTGGACAGATTGACGAAGGATTCTGGAAGCATGGCAAGCACAAAGCATTGCGGAATTTCTGGTGACTGGAGCGCTGTAAGCTGCCCAAAAGACTTGGGCAACTCATTCAGACTCACAAAATGAGACAAATGAAGGGAAGTAAGCTTGAAAAGGCTCCCTATGGCGCCTTGCAAGGTCTTCATGCTCTTGGCTCTTGGCTCTCGGCTCTTGACGAGATCCTGGCGCCGCCGAACCAGAACCGTTTTCAGCCCAGCTCGACGTATGCCGCCATTGCTTAGGAAGAGTCGTACACATGCGCCGTCTAATGCAAACGCCGCTTGCATCGCGAAGTCGTCATTACGGTCGCCAATAACCAGTACCTATGGCAAGGAGTTGTTCAGTTACAATACAAACATGGTTATGCAAGTGTCTCGCTTACTGGTTGTCAACAACCTTGGTTGAAATCTTATGAGGTCAGAACCCAAGCGCACCCATTTATGCACTGCTCGAGAAAGTTTACAACAAAATCTTTCATATACCTCGCGATGAAGGTCATCCTGACCTAAACCATGTCATCACCTTCATCGACACATCAACTTGTATGTTTGACACCTGAACCTGCCCTCATGTAACCTTGCCTATGCTACATTCGTCGCATGGCACGCCGAGGCGGAATGCGAGTCAGATATGAAGCTAAAAAGCTTCTAGATAGATGGTGCTACTGTATAGAATACTACTCACAACGTCTCAAGGGTTACCTGGTAGAAAAGGGTATCAAGAGACTCATCTCTCTTCCCTACGCACATCAAAATCATGGGATAGAAGAACGGATGAACCCGACCTTGCATTCGATCATACGCCGTCACAGCTGATGCCTATCGTCGAGCCTAATGTCGTAAAGCAGACACTTGAGGGGGAACACATGGAAAAATTGCGGGAGGCAGTGGACAAGGAGCTCAAAATGCTGCATGACAGGAACACACGGACACTCGACCCAGTCGCAAAAGTAAAGGGCAAGACCATCCTCTACAGAAAATTGGTATTTCGGGTGAAGATGAAAGCAGATTGGACCATTGAATGTTTCATCGATCGATGGATGGTGAGAGGATTCGATCAACAATATGGCAGCGACTTCACCGAAACCTTCGCTCCTGCAAGCCAACATATTTTCCTTCGAATTCTGCTCGCCGTAGCTCGGAACCTTTCACTTCGACAAATCGACGTCGCCACTGTCTTCCTCTACGCACCAGTCGACCCCACATGGAAATTTATGTGGGACAACCACATGCCTTCGTCGACTACCCTACCCAGATCTGCCAGCTCGTCAAATCCCGGTATGGGATCAAGCAAGCCCTAGACTTTGGCAACAGCACCTCCACACCACCTCATTCGCATAAGATTCAATCAACTGCCCCACAACCAGGGCATGTATCGCTTCACCCGTAACGACACCTACTGTATATACTCTGCATCGTTCACGTAGAAAACCTACTGTACATCGGCTCCACTACCGCCATTACCACTTGGTTTGAAGGGGAGCTGCAAGCCGACGTGACCCTGACCGTCTCCACTAAAGTCAGTCAATACCTCGGCCTCAATATTCTCGACGACTCTGGCGCGATCCATCGCTCAGCTTCAAAGTATGCTGAAACTCTCGCAAAGCGCTTCAACATCTCTTCGATGGCTGACACTACTCCGCTCTCGCCTACATGTCTTCGCGAGTATCAACGGAAGCTGGGCTGCCAACTCTTTGCAGCCGTAACCTGCCGACTGGACCTGTTCTACTCGGCTAGCCAGCTCACTACGTACCTTAACCGACTTGAAGGGGAGAATATGGAGGAACTTACTGTAGCTGAGCGCTTCTTTATTTCTTATCGACTCCCACGATCGGCCTCACATAGTGTAAGTCGATCTCTATAAAGATCAAGCTCCTCGGTTACATCGACGCTGATCACGCCGGTGATAAGGACAACAGGCGCTCGCATATCGGCTATGTCTACCGTCAAGAACCTATCGACATGATCTCGTGGCAATCAAGAAAACAAGAGCTAATAAATCTCTCATATGCGGAAGTAGAATATATCGCTCTCTGCTCAGCCGCAAAGGAAGGACTACATTTGCGAACAACCAGAATATGAGAAGATTGCGTTACCGAGCTTCTCCCTCTTTTGCGACTAAAACGATCACGAAAAAGAGCGGCTTCGCAAATTGAACGAAGCACATCTCACTTCGCTACTTCTTCTTGAAAGACGAGATCTCGCAAGAAAAACGTAAGCTGGCCTTCTGCCTTACCACCAAGCAGCAACCGATTACTTGACCAAAAAGTTGACCAAGGCGAAGATAGAGAAATGCATGCTGCTGACTGGACCGCATCACGCCACTAGCCTTGGACACGTCGACAATCCAGAAATGAAGGGGAGTGTTGGAAATGAGGAAGTTCAGTCTTAGGGTTATAGGAGTATCGCTAATTATTCTACGCACGAGTAAGGTAACATCGCAGACAAGACGAGTCAACCGTGCTATAGTACTCGTCATAACTTGAGACAGTCAACTGACACTTCAGCTGTACAGTAACGACTTGTTTAAAGCAAGGAGGCGTTGTACGCCTTGGTATTACAAAGCTACATCAACTTCTACAGTATATCTTCTAGTATGCTCGTTGTTTTAATCCATCGCTTGTTCTCACACACCAGTACAAGGATCCAATCAAGTCTTTCGCTGTGCTACACAAGCACCCACTCAAGAACTTAGTCTCTGCCAAAGATCCTTGGGTTGTTCTCAGCCCAATGCCAGGTAATTCCTGATTGCGGGTATAAAACTTCTACAGATTCCTAAGAATTAAAAAAATCACTGGCATAACTGTTCAGCTACTATCCTAAATTTCATGACATCAAATATTTGTTTTTTATCAATTGTTAGTTGAGAATGCCAAAGTAAAATTATTCGCTAGGAGAGTAATATGTCAGTTACCATAACCGTAAATGCATTGCTTAATGACTGCTAATTGTGATGAGGTGCAAACTGTGAATGTCGAATACTTGTAGTAGCGAGCAAACAACACAATGAGCCATCAAAATAGCTGAGGGCCTGAATATACCTAAGCATGGAGCACACGATCGAGGCTTGGCACGGTCGAGACGTATGGCTTGTAATTTGGCACGGAATTCATATATTCAGGCATGAAACTGTAAGCCATATGAAATGTACGCGGCTCGTCAGGAGGCCAAATTGGGTGCCGACTGCACGGCAACCCCGTTATAGCAGTATACGCCTTACTAACAAAAACCACCCACGAAAGGAAATACCACTTCCTTACACTCTCCCCCCTCCTAGGTATGGTATTAGTTTAAGGCCGTCGACGTCGAGCACGTTGCGTGACTTGAGGTAGACTCGTAATGCCGTGTAATTCTCAATCAGTGCCAGGGGCACCTAGTTTCTTTCCAGGGACGTTCGGTCCTTCCATGATACAAGGAATTGGATCCGGTGAGCACCTCGAGGGTCTTTGATCTGATGGATGAGAATCTTCGCAGGTTTGATTGTCCGCTCAGCAAGCGGTCTGATGCTCAGATTGGTTCTATGACGTGGTAGCGCATATGGTGATGTATGGTTGTTGTAGGAGCACGTGGAATGACACGCTCACGTTCCAGGTAGCAGGCAATAGTAGGTGGGCTGTACGAATGAAATCATGTGGCTGATTGTAAATGGTCTACAGTAGCGGGGACAGAGTTTTGGGAATATGGGTGGCCAAAGGTTCTGGTTGTCGAGTAGTACTAAGTCTCCTGGTTGGTAGGTTACGGCCCAGTTGTGTAAGTTTGCCCCTGTACTTAGAAATAACATTTGTGCACTTAATGGCTTGTTGCTCACTCATAGACGTTGTGTTAACTTTTTGCAAACTGTTGGGCCCGGGGTACGGGATTCTCGATGTTGGGGGTGATGGATACTGTAGAATTTTGGCCGTAGTTTAGGAAACATGGGTTGGTAGTGGCTAATAGATCGTTATTGTAGGCAAACTTGATCACGGGCGGTTGCTATTCGCAAGTGGCGCGAATCAATTGCTCCATTGTCCGAAATTACTGGTGATTTTTGTATCAAGATCGGAAATTATTGCGGATAGGCGGATGCGCGTGCCAAAGTGGTCCCACAAAATTCGCCGGAATTGACTAGTGAATTTTGTATTATGATTGGAAATAATGTCGTGGAGTCGAACAATGACAGGGATGAAAAGTCGAGCTGTTTCTTCGGCTGAGATGCTTTTCTTGCACGCGGCAAAGTGAGCCATCTTCATCAGCTTGTCCATGACGGCGAAAATTGAATCATTACTGTCGTCTGTGATAGACAATTCCATAACGAAATCCATCATCACCTGCTGCCACGCATGCGCTGGTGACGAAATCGGCTGCAACTGTCCTATTGGCTTCTGTTTCGATGACTTTATGGTTTAGCAGGTCCTGCACGAAGCCACATGTCGCTGCATGTCCCCTTGCATGTTGGGCAAAAAATCGTAACGTGATAAGAGCTGTCGTGTTTTTCCCACTCTAAAGTGCACTGATATTGTACTGTCGTTGGCTTCCTATAGTAATAACTCCCGTATTTAACTTTACTCTGGTACCCAGATACAGTGACAGATACAATTTTCAGTATGTTTTGCGTTAATTAGGGGTTTTAGGCTTTAAGAGCATTATACATGAAGTCTTAATGTTTAATGCTGGTACGATTTGGGAGGGGCACATAGTGGATGCGTTCACAACACTAAAATATAGAATACTACATTGGATCAAACTTATACCCCAAACCATGTACAAAGAGTGTATCAGGACAAATCATTCCAAGGACAGAGAACGAACTCCAAAACAACGTTTTCTAATACCAAGTCCACTGACCCTTGGCCTTGATCAGCGCCCGCACTCTCCTAGGCATGCTGTAAATGAGTTTAGGGAAAATATCGGCATGGATCTTCTCCAGTTCTTCCTGGACCTGCTCCCAAAGCTCCAACATTCCGGAGGGAGGCCTTTTGTACTTGGCCATCTTCCTCTTTAGGTAAGCCTAGATGTTGAGGTTTAACAAGGAAGAGGTTGGGCATACCCATGCTTTCCATGCCATTCCTGCACTAGGCATGATGAATGCTTGGGGTCATTGTTCACACCGAATATGACCTCAGAGGGGGAAAGGTTGTAGAAATCGAAGGTCGATTCGAGTTCGTCGTGCAAATTGCTAAGATACAGGGCCTGTCCATCCGCCCGTCGATCTTGCATATGAGCCCCACCCCCGCACATGCCATACATCCCCACACCATCACTGAACCTTGTCCCCATGGTTTAACGTCTATTTGATAAGATGGTGCTGCTAGGTTTTGCCTTCACGAATCCAGGCATACGCACGGCCATTGGAGCATAAGCGGTTGATCTTGGTCCCGTTTGATTAGAACACATGCTTCAAAAAATTATTTGTCCACTCGGCATGCAACTCCGCGAATTGCAGCCGGTCCCGGATATTCTTCTAGAACCATCGTGGCTACTTCGACTGCTGCACCATGACTAGTCCAGCAGATCTTGGTGTCTAATGGTGCAAGGGTGCGTAGTCGACCGTCCTACGTTACCCGTGGTTTCGCGATGTCTACGCTAGTTTTGACTGCTCTGTTCGTGATTTTACCCTATGACGGTACGACGAAGTCGATCCGTGATAAGACGGGGCGGACCGCGTATTGGCATCTTTGGCCACACCTCAGTTTGGCTAGTCTCAGAGATGACATTCAATCCAAAATCGTCCACACTACTCTTGCCTACGTCCAACCCCTTCGCCATTTTCCTAGTGCTGACCCCCTTATGCGAAAGGGTGGGTCCAGGAAGAGTGGGAGAAGATCACTGCCAAGTTTTGCACTAACCTCGTAGGTAACATGCCTAGAAGGGTGCGGGTGGTGATCAAGGCCAAGGGTCGGAGGACTAGGTACTAGATACGCTAACTGAAGTTTGCCTCTGCCCTTGGAACTTTTTGTCAGGATGTACTCTTTGTATAAGCTTTGGGGTATGAGTAAGATCCAATGTACTATTTTGGATTTTAGTGGTGTAAATATATCCACTATGTGCCCCTCACTGTATGGCCAATCCCTAGACTCCCTTACCCATTGTGAGGTGTTAGTTCGTGCTCGATGTAAAGAGTCTGTCCATTTGGTAACCGTGGGAAAATACTGTAGTCGGATTAATAGCGGGGAATTCAAGGCGCGGATGATGGAGTTGAGATGGGCCAAAAGTCGTGAAAGGTGGTCTGCAATGTTCGGTGCCCCTTTTTTTTATGTGACCATATAGTGGAAATTTGATTCCATAAAATCCAACCACCCAACCTATCGCGGATTGAGCACTGGTTGCGCACGAATGTAATGTAGGCTGCGATGGTCTGCCCATACTGTAGCGTCCGCCCTCGTCGGGAAGCACTGCCACAATTTGAATGCGCGCACAATCGTGAGCACCTCCTTGACATGTATTGGATAGTTTTGTTCGGCCGGGTATAACTTTTGTGACTCGTGCGCGATTGGCTGTAGGCTGTCGCTAGAGTCGTATAACAGTAGTGCGCCGATGGCGATGTGGCTTGCGTTAATGATTACTTCAAATGGATGGTGGGGATTGGCTATGCGAAGGACAGAAAATTTTTTGAGCGCAAAGAAGATAGCCTGCTATTTCTCCCCCCACCTATTACCAGTTCCTTTCCGCAGCAGGTTAGTCGACGGTGCAGTTACCCTTCGCCATATTCAGGATAAATTTATGAACGTAATTTATGAACCCTAAAAAAATCTGCAGCTCCTTTAGGTTCAAGGCGGTAGCCACACATGCACTGTCTCAATCTTGCACGGATCCACTTCGACGCCTTTGTAACATGACCTAAAAACTCTAACCGATCTTGAAAATTTTTGCACCTAGACCCCTTCGTGAGCAAGAGATGCTCCTGCAACAGCGTGAGAAATGCTTTGAGATCCTTTAAGTGCTACCCCTGGTTCTGACTGTAAATCAGGATATCGTAAAGGTAAAATATAACACACTTATCTACGAGCGGGCTGAAGATCCGGTTCATGGTCATTCAAAAAGTTGTAGGGGCGTTCGTCACTCCGAAGGCATAACTGCGTACTCGTAACTCCCATACCTACAGCAGTACAAAACGTGGTCTTGTGACAATGGGATGCGGCTACTCAAACTCGGTGGTAACCTCCTCACAAATCTATTTTCGAGAAGTATCAGGTTGAGCGACGTTGGTCGATCAGCTCGTTTGTCCAAGGGATGGGGTAATGTGACTTGATAGTCACTTTGTTCAATTCTCGGTAGTCAATGCACATACGGCAACCTCCGTCCTTCTTCGGGGTGAACATTATGGGGGTGGTAGAGGGACATAAACTCTGGCGTTTTTTTTTTTTTTTTTTTTTTTTTTTTTGGTCAGTAATCCTTTTGTTCCCATGATTCTTTTAACTCCGGCTGTGTTAATCGAAATTGCCACTAGAATGTAGGGTAATTTCTCGGTTCTAATTCCATTCGATGGTCGAAGTACCGTTCTGGTGGTAATCCCTCAGGCAATTCGTCTAGAAATATTCCCAGAAATCTGCGAATTAGTTGTGCTAGGTCGGCCGGCACTGTTGCTGCCAGCTTCTCTAAAACGGACGGCTGCGATGCCACGTCAACTACATGAATAACTACAGCGAAGACTTCCGCTCCACATGCAATGACTCGTTTCATCGCCACAGAGTCCACCTGTGTCACTCCCCTATGATCCCCTTTGTCCATTCTGGTATTACTACACTAAGACCGTTGATCTTCACCGAACAACTACCGGTCGTCCAATCTATCATGTGATTAAATTGTCGCAGCCAATCCCGACCTGGCAGCATGTCGAAACCGTTGAGTGTAGTAGCCAGCATCCCTATAAGAAATTTGAGGTCAGCTCTACACGTACCCTAACCTTCGCTGCCCGGTGCTTTCTTGCTAATGGGTAACCATCGACTAGGCAGGCATCGATCTTTGGTAAACACCTATCTAGATCTTAAAAAAATTGGTTGTGGCAAGGTTGATGAGGCTGTGGCTGGCGCCTCCATCCACAAAGATTCCTTTTTTTTGTTCCCCTTCAACTCTACACTAAATAAATAGATTAATCCGCCACTGCACCCTCCTTATTCACAAGGATTTGGTCGATTGCATGAAATGGTACCACAAATCGATGAGGGTCTTAGGGTTTAGGGGCGAGCAAGTTCCATCTGTAGTAGGCCGGTTAACTACTGACTTAGCGTTTTCCTGGTCCTTGGAACTCCCTTGCCCCTGATTCCACCTCTCCCGCTCCTCTGGGCATTCCATGTAGCTGCTGCGTTCGAGGCTGTAACAGGGTGCACGTAACAGGCACACTCAATTGGCTCCTGAGTGCGATTTTCGTCGAAGGAACCCGCCCTTAGTTTGAAGATCCGGTCGAAGGCCCCCGATGTATCTATCAAATTTCTCATCAGGGTGCACGTAACCGACCTGACGCATAGATTTTAAAGTTGCTTATGTAGTCTCGGACCGATCCGAGTTGGCACCACCTGCGAAGGCGGTGGCGCGCCTAACTGCTTGCATTGACGTGTTCGAAGCATCGACAACTTCCCGCACACCACGATTGCCACGTGTTGTACTCATCCACCTCGCACAACTATCCTGACCAGTGATTGGTCGTCCGAAAATGCTCGATCACACGCGGCGTCGTATCCGTCTCCTGCGACTGTAGAACCTGCTGCCACCATTCCATCGCCGGTCTACGTAGGAGACACGTCGTAGCGAATCTTCTGGAAATCGTCGATGGCAATGTTGCAGTCGTAATATACAATGAAGTAAAAAATCCATCCGGTAACGGACAGATTGCAACGCCGCTTGGGTCGAACGTGGACGACCTCTGCATCTTAAGCATGCCGGGCGCCTTGCTGACGCATGCAGTTTGCACGCCAGCTTGAGACGTAATCGAGGCGGGGGGGGGGGGATCGAAATTTGTCTGTTCGCCAATTTCCGTTTGACCAATCGCTGGCTTGGGATTGTTCGTCGATCTCTCATGTGATGTCGCGTGTGGTCGCTAGTTGTCGTTAGGTACTTCTGAATGCTGCCGTGTAACTTGCTCTATTGTCTTTGATGTGTGGTTGGCAGCTGCATGTTGCTCCGTGACTGCTCCAACTAGCGTTGCAATGTGGATATTTTCGATTTTGCTTGAGCGCTCTGAGCTTTCATGCGCGCCAACTCTTGGTGAAATGTTTTGAGGGTGAGTCGTGCCTTGTCGAGTGCTGCCGCCCTTGCTTCAGCAGGTGTAATCTCAGACGATGATGGCTCCACAATTTCCTGAAAATTCGGGTGGCTTTTGGCACGCTGTCACTGCGAACCCAATCGTGGTTGTAGATAATTGATAGATCAAATTACCAAGTCAACAGATATGCAGAAAGCACAGGGCGTCGACCTCCCGAAGTGACAGTATTGCAGTGGAAGGCTATGATGGCCAGGTGTAATAAGGCGCAAACAACGAGTGTCGAATATGTTAAATTATATATATGTTTAGGCTTGGTAGGATTGCTACATTGCTGGATCCTACTGTAGAGGGGACAACCCCCTTCTTGTACCTCTCTCTCTTTCCTAGTTGGTCTCTTTTCTCTTGTCAACTTTCTTCTACCCTAGCTTAAACCTCTCGCTAGTTCTATGCCTAGCTCCTAAGCTCTCCTTTAACAGAATACTGGTAGTGGCGAAGAAACAATACAATGAGCCATAAAAACAATCGAGGGCCTGAATACAGCTAGGCAAGGAGCACATGGTCGAGGCTCGGCAGAGCTGAGACGTGTGGTCTGTAAATTGGGACGGGGTATTAAACTAAGGTAGCTAGGAAGAGGAAGCCATAGAAACGGCGAGAGGTTTTAGGCTAGGAAGATTGACGAGAGAAAAGAGAGTTGAGAATAGAAGAGAGAGGCATACAAGGAGGGGGGTTGTACCTCCTACAGTTGGTTGCAATAACACCTACCAAGCCTACCAATTATATAACAAAATATATAATTTAACACACCCCCTAGGCTTGGTAGTAGAAGAACCCACACACACCCACACCCCCTAACCTAGCACCCCCATTCCCAGCAGCAGCCGCAATGACTCCGGAATCGATCAACACCCACGGCCCGGGAGATGGCAATGGCGGCAAGCACGGCAGTGACGAGAGCAACAGCGGCGGTGTGCGGCGGCAACTAGCCAGCGGTAACAGCGGCGGCGGTGGCTTCAACGTCAGAGGCGGCTGCAGCAGCCCCCGCCCTCTCGGCGGCATGGCCAATCTCATAACGGCTATGGGAAGGCCCTCACGAGGCAGTCGACGGCTGTGGCAAGGAAGAGGGGACGCAGGGGAAGGAGGGGGTGGGGGGGTGGGGGGGGGGGGGGGGGGGGGTGATCCTGAATCACGCCCGTGGCAGGCGAACGGGCGGCAGGTCTAGCGGCGCCACAGGCGTTGCGCGGCCGGCTGCCGCCCGACGGCGCCGCCACCGCAGCATTACGACACCGCTACAGTGCGGCGTCGATGCCACTGCGGGACGTCGATGCTGCGACGGCAGCACGACGGCGCCGTCACGCCGCCACGGATGGACGTCGATGCCACGACAGCGCGTCGAGACGGCCGCGGCACGACGACGCCGCCACAGCAACACAGCGCGGTCTCTATGGCAGCACGAGAGGAAGAGGAGGAGTGCGCGGCGGAAGCGTAGGGAGAAGGCCCGGGAAGGGCGACCCGCTCTGTTACCATATTAAACTAAGGTAGCTAGGAAGAGGAAGCCATAGAAATGGCGAGAGGTTTTAGGCTAGGAAAGTTGACGAGAGAAAAGAGAGTCGAGAATAGAAGAGAGAGGCATACAAGGAGGGGGGTTGTACCCTCTACAGTTGGTTGCAATAACACCTACCAAGCCTACCGATTATATAACAGATATATGATTGAACATGGGGCACACATATTTAGGCATGAAAATGTAAGGCGGGTGAAAGGCACGAGGCCGAATTTGGGTGCCGCGATATGAATATCGTAGCAGACTACGTGGTGACCCCGTTATAGCAGTGTACACCTTACAAACTAAAACATGGGATTAGGAACCACCATTTCCTTAAACTAGTGAATCCTGTGCATAAAGAGTCTGGGAGGGCGCTATTTTATATTGCTTGACTTTTTTCCAGCAAATAACTGTACATATCTGGTTCTGTTACGCTTTATCGGTATCAGAACCTGGTCCCTGACAGATCAGGAATGCCCTTGGTGTTGCCATGAGAGTTCCCTCATTCACGATCTTCTCGCCCAGCTGCTAGTTTCTGATCCAACTTCAGTTGCAGTTGCAGTTTCAGGATCGCCAGATTCAGCAGCAGAACAGCAGAACTGCCAGATCTCATAGCAACAAGACTGATCAGTTCAGGGCTACCTGCTAGTAGCTTACTTGGCAGCGCTGGTTTCCTCGTGTTCGCTGCATACGATTTAAGTTCTTGCTGCCGATCCCGTGGTCGCATTTGGTTCTGCTTCTGTTCACGCAGAGCTTAGCTGACAAGAAAAAAGCGGCGACATGGTAAGCTCGCCGCACAATGTCAGCACGAAGATAACGAGATCTCGAGAATTTGGAAGATTGTGCTTTTGACGATATTAAGGTCTGCGAAAGCATGTTACTGAAGATTAGTATCGGTAGAAATCTCATCCTTTAGGTATCTCGGTTAGGATCGACAGCAGGTTATTCGACCAGCTGTGTGGGTGATCTGCCCTCTACTCCGAGTGTGGAGTCGCATTATCGATTATTTCATTTTATCGCGAGCATCGTCGGTGGAGTAGGTATCCATTTGGAGCCGTTTTCATCCCCGCAGTTCTCTGAGGCCATAGAAACGACACGGACGCCGTTCGATTTATCGGAGGCTAGCACCTTGTTCTTCCTGCTCGCTTGATTGCCGACGTGCTTGGCGTGCTTGTCACACGTGCAGGATAGTGTCCCGTTTACCTGTCGCCGACACGTCCCAAGACCTGCTATCCGATTTTCCGTTCCTTCCCATCGCCCAGCATAGGAGTATTAGTTATCATTAGCGATTCCAAGAAGCGACTGTGCGAGAAGAAGGTCGGTCGCTCATTACAGATGTCGAAGCGTTTATGCGGTAGTGTTAAGTCGTCGTCGCGGTTGGTATAGGAAGCGCGGTACTGTCCCTACGTTTTTTTATGTGTGAGATGACTTTCGAGTCTACGCAGAAGTCATCTTGTTAGGTCGTCGTCGAGGTTGGCCTATGAAGCACGTAACAGATTAGCTATTTTATGGCAATGTGCGAGGGATTTTGCATAATCGATGCGCCTTTCTGTATTGTATTGACTTAGGCGGAATTCGCGTTCCTCGACCAATTTGAAAGTGCCGGTGCCTGCTTCTAGTCTTCAATGTTTTACTTCGTGCCTTTTCGTTGCTTGCATCATCCCAGTTCACTAACCATTTGGCTCCCTTGTTTAATCTCCTCATTTCCGTGCACTTTTGACGTTGCAGCCTCTTCGGTTGGAGATCAAGGTAAGCAGATTTGTTGGATGTGTCTTTTGTATCACTTGTCAATTGATCCTATAGTCGGTGCTATCTAGCGTTCAACCTGAGAGATGCTCTTACGCAAAGTTGGGTGTTTGCACACAAATGCATCCGCCAGGTTTTACCTGATGCATGGGTATCATGTGACCTAATTCCACGATACTTCCTTTCCCCTTGTCTGTCCATTTCAGCGCAAGCTTGCGCAACGTTCAGATCGCGTCAAGTGTGTGGATCTACATCCGACAGAACCATGGTGAGTTGAACTCGCTTGGCTTTCGGTTTCGCATGGAAGCTACTAGTGCCAGGCTTCGCTGTGACCCTCGTTGTGTTCGAGTCGGGCTCCTTACCTGCTGTGGTCCGTTGCGCTTCTGGCAGGGTTCTTGCAACGCTATATACCGGGAGTGTGTACATTTGGAATTACACCACACAGGTAAGACTCGATACGCGACAGTTATTGCGCCACAAGTATCCCTTCCAACCGCTGTGCTCTTTATCGGTGAATTCTTCGCCGTTTGAACCAGCAGGTTTGACAGTGTTTTTTTTGTTCAAATGATGCCTTTTCCTTTCGTACGTGTGTCTCGCAGACTCTGGTCAAGTCATTTGAAGTGACTGAGCTGCCAGGTACGCTGCTATACGTGGTTGGTGCGTTGCCACATCGTTTTGGTGTTACATCGTTTTGGTGCTCAACCACGGTCGATTTTGCCCAACCACGGTGTTACATCGTCATTTGATGCGCCTCAATGCTGGCATAATGCCATGTCGCTCGTGGTCTTGCCATGCCACAGACGACGCCTGTCCAGTAAAACCTTCTCGTTTCCACTTGTCCGTCTTCTGTCCTCTTTTCCTCTACCGCCCTCGTCGCTCCCTCTCCCTCCCTCTCTTCCTTTTCCCTTCCCTATTTTACCCAACCCCCCGCGTCGTTCCTTCGCTTCCCGTCCCTTGCCCACTCTCCCATCATCCCCATGCTCTCTCCCTAGTGCGTTCCGCCAAGTTCATTCCGCGCAAGCAGTGAAACGTGACGGGCGCGGATGTTAAGAAACGGTCTCTCCTTCTTTCCCTCTCGTCCCTCCTCCTCGCTGTCCCCCCACCCCCTCCCCCTCCGCTTCCCCGCCCCTGCTCTTCCCCCAGTGCGGTCGGCCAAGTTCATTCCGCGGAAGCAGTGGATTGTGACGGGCGCGGACGACATGTTCATCCGCGTGTACAACTACAACACCATGGACAAGGTCAAGACGTTCGAGGCGCACACCGACTACATCCGCTGCGTGGCCGCGCACCCGTCGCTGCCGCTCGTCATCTCGTCGTCTGACGACATGCTCATCAAGCTGTGGGACTGGGAGAAGGGGTGGGCATGCACGCAGATCTTCGAAGGGCACTCGCACTACGTCATGCAGGTGCGTGAAGGCTGAACCGGGTATTGCAGCTGTGTTTCCGTGGAGTCGAAGAGTCTATGCTAAAAGGCCTTTCTGGTGTTTTTCTCCTGCATCAATGCTTGACTCGTCAGAAAATGTTCTGCCTCTCAACCACGCTTCCTGACCCTTCTGACCCTTCTGCCCCTTCTGTATTTCCGTGCCGGTCCCCATTTCCCACCACCATGACCACGTTGCCTTGTTGTCAGGTGGTCTTCAATCCCAAGGACACCAACACATTCGCAAGTGCATCTCTAGATCGCACCATCAAGGTGAGCTCAAGTGTGCTTGCACACGCCATACATTGCACGAGTAGTTCGCAATTCGACTTCTGTATCACAACCTGTTGACTCGTTTCTGTTTTCTTTTTTCCTGCCTACTTACTACGCCCCGTCCATCCATCCTCTCTTCCCTGTTTTCAAGGTCTGGAGCCTGGGATCTCCGGACCCTAACTTCACTCTGGAGGGACACCTGAAGGGCGTCAACTGCCTGGACTACTTCACTGGGGGCGATTTCCCGTACCTCATGTCTTCCCAAACCAATGGCGCTCTATTTTCCTGCTCTCCCTCTTCCCGTCCTTCCCTGCCTCTAGATCTGGAGCCTGGGATCTCCGGATCCTAACTTCACTCTGGAGGGACACCTGAAGGGCGTCAACTGCCTGGACTACTTCACTGGGGGCGACCGCCCCTACCTCATTTCTGGCTCGGACGACCAGCTCGTTAAGGTAGGCCGCCTGCCCCTGGTGCCAGCCAACTGGTTAAGGCTCACCCCCTTGTTCAGGCTCTGCACCCTGCACCAAGCCACGCCCGCTGGAGCAATATACCCCCGGCAATGCTGCTGTACCTGTACGCGTCCTTGTGGCTCCGCAGCATCTCAACAGCCAAGCCCTACAACAGGCTTGTTTCCAAGCCGCGTTTGGACTGTGCCTCTGATTTGGCTCGGGTGTGGGACCCAACCAACGGTGTTGCAGCTCGACTTAACACCTGGAAAAACGTTTACCCTGTCGCTCCCTCTCCTGCTTCATGCTGGTGGGGGAGTGGGACTACCAAACCAACGGTGTTGCGGCTCGTCCTAATACCTAACGAGTTCACACATGTGTGTCTCTCCCCGACTGCATGCAGGTGTGGGACTACCAGACCAAGAGCTGCGTGCAGACGCTGGAGGGCCACACCCACAACGTGTCTGCCGTCTGCTTCCACCCAGAGCTGCCCATCATTGTGACAGGGTCCGAGGATGGCACTGTGCGCATCTGGCACTCCACCACCTACAGGTATGCTTCTGGATTTACACCTACCATCATTGTGACGGGGTTTAGAGGATGGCACTGTGCGCATCTGGCACTCCACCACGTACAGGTATGCTTCTGGATTTACACCTGCCATCACTGTGACGGGGTTTAGAGGATGGCACTGTGCGCATCTGGCACTCCACCACCTACAGGTATGCTTAAAACACATCTGGCATAGCACTACCTGCTGATGTGGCGCTGGTTGCGAAGTGTGAGCAAACAGAAGGATAGGCAGAGAGGGTTTTGGGGAGCAGGAGAGACTGTGAAGTGAAGCCTTTTTTTCTGTCTCTGCCCTATCACCTTGACGCCGTGATGAGCCATGAGATCTCATCCGGCCTCTGCCTTCTCACTTTCCCGTCTTCTCACCCGTCCTCTCCCCCCAACCTTCAACCGCCTTGCCCCTCCTCTCTCTCTATATTCCCTCTGTCGCCAGACTGGAGAACACTCTCAACTACGGCCTTGAGCGAGTGTGGATTATTGCTAGCATGAAAATCTTTTGAGTCGACTCAGATTCCCCTCTCGCTTTCTTTGCCTGCAGACTGGAGAACACTCTCAACTACGGCCTGGAGCGTGTGTGGACCATTGCTTACATGAAGGGGTCCAACAGGTGAGCGTTCCTGCATCGTGCACTCGGGCTCACGTCTGCAGCGGGTTTGAACGATTCATGCCCAATCCAGCTTCCCTTGCACTCTGTGCCTTTCGCTAGGCTTGTCCTTTCCCTGTGCCTCTACTTTCCCATTCGTTCCCCTTGTCTCTTCCATACCCGCACGTCATCTATGGCTGTGCTGACTCATTTCACATGCCTCTGCTTCCCCCACACCGCCAGCATTGCTATCGGGTATGACGAGGGAACGAGTATGATCAAGATAGGCCGGGACGAGCCAGTAGCCATCATAGACAGCAGCAGCGTTCAACTTCAAATCAATTCTACCCTTGGCCTATGCTTTCCCCACATCCCCGTCACCCCCCCTCTCGTACCATGCAGCATTGCTATTGGTTACGATGAGGGAACGATCATGATTAAGATTGGCCGGGACGAGCCCGTAGCCAGCATGGACAGCAGCGGCAAGATCATCTGGGCCAAGCACAACGAGATCCAGACCGTCAATGTCAAGTCCGTGCCTGCAGACTTCGAGGTACGCTGTGTATTGGTTGCAGTTGCAGTGAGGATTATCTGGTATGTAGAGGTCTTATAACGAGTCCGGTAGCCAGCATGGACAGCAGCGGCAAGATCATCTGGGCCAAGCACAACGAGATCCAGACCGTCAATGTCAAGTCCGTCCCTGCAGACTTCGAGGTAAGCAGTGTTCCGGATGTAGAAAACTTTTAACTAGTATTGAGGTGCTTATAACGAGTCCATCATCAGGTATTGCAAGCACAACGAGATCCAAACCGTTAATGTCAAGTCCGTGCCTGCAGACTTCGAGGTAAGCAACCCGCCACCTGTAGGAAATGGGCCAGTCCCGGCATTCGAACCGATTGAACCTGTTTTGCGCTCAAGTCTTTGAGCTGCTATGGGCTAAGGCTGTTGGACATTTTTTCATTCAAGCACATGGTTTTGCTGATCTTCTCGGCTGCAGCAAGTGGTGCCCTGGAGCCAAGCGTGTTGCTGCTCCCCTAATAATTGCCACAAATCCACTTGTGTGTGGTCTCCTGCAATTCTCTTCTGTTTGTTGCCTGTTCAGGTGACGGATGGCGAGCGGCTCCCTCTTGCAGTTAAGGAGCTTGGCAGCTGCGATCTCTATCCCCAGGTAACAGAACTTTCGACTGCAATGCCCAATGAGTTGTAACGAGTGCAAATCCAATGTTTTCCGAGTCGACTAAAAAAACCCTCTTGCAGTTAAGGAGCTTGGCAGTTGCGATCTCTATCCCCAGGTAACGTAACTGAACTTTCGACTGGTAACGCGCATCTCATTGTAACAAGCGCAAATCCGATGTTTTCTCTGCCCCATCACCTTCAAGCATGACTGCCTTCCTTCCCTCGTCCCTCTCCACCCTCTTCCTCTTCCTCCACACCCTCCCTTCTTCTCCCTTCCCCTCCCACACCCCCCCTTCTAGAGCCTCCACACAACCCCGAATGGGCGGTATGTGGTGGTGTGAGGTGACGGGGAGTACATCGTCTACACCGCCCTGGCCTGACGCAACCCCTTCTCTGTTCCTCTCCCTCCCTCTCTGTTCCTCCCTCCTCTCCCTCCCGCCCTGACCTTCCTCCCCCAACAGAGCCTTCAACACAACCCTAATGGGCGGTTTGTGGTGGTGAACGGTGACGGGGAGTACATCATCTACACCGCCCTCGCCTGGCGCAACCGCTCTTTTGGGTCGGCGCTGGAGCTGGTGTGGTCGTCGGAGGGCGAGTATGCTGTCAAGGAGACCACCTCCAAGATCAAGATCTTCAACAAGAATTTTGTGGTACGTGGAAGACTTGCAGTACATAGAATTATTCCACTAGTGGGCTTGAATTAGGGTGGGATTTGAGTTCAAGGCGCAAGTCGGCCCTGGAGCTGGTGTGGTTGTCTGAGGGCGAGCATGCGGTATAGGAGACCACGTCCAAGATCAAGATCTTCAACAAGTACTCGTGGTGCGTGAAGCCCTTTGTGCTGCGTGAAGCATGTAGTGCTCTGATAAACGCTTCAAGTAGTGCTCCAAAAGTAGCGGCTTCAAACCCTTTCAGGAAGAAAACCTTCTCGTCATTAGCCTCCTCCCACGGAAATGCAGGAGTGCAGGAATATATATATTCATCTGGGAGCTTAACGGTTAACTTTAAGACCTCTAAGCCCACTCTTACCCCTCTCTCCCCCCCCCCCCCCCCTTCCCCCTCCCTCACATGCAGGAGCGCAAGAGCATCCGGCCAGCATTCTCAGCAGAGGGTATTCACGGGGGGTCTCTGCTGGGAGTGCGGTCGAACGAGTTTGTGTGCTTCTACGACTGGGCTGAGTGCCGCGTGGTTCGCCGCATCGACGTGGCTGTGAAGGTTTGTCTACTCGCATGTGTGTTACTTTTGAAGTATGTCATCCCGCTTCCGCGGGTTCTCTATGGATCTGCTTGGTTCACTTCCAAGCACAATTAAAGTATGGTAGTTCTGCCCTGTAATATGGTATGTCTGACCTAGGGTGTGTGATTGTGCTTGTACTCTGTCCTGCAGTCTGACAGCGGCGGTTTGCTGGCAATCGCAAGTGAAGGCTGCTTCTACTCCCTCATTTTTCTCTTCTCTTACTATGCTTCTGACTGTGCTATGTTCTGCCCGTTACTGCGCAGAACATCTATTGGTCCGACAGTGGCGATTTGCTGGCCATTGCGAGTGAAGGCTCCTTCTACATCCTCAGGTTCAATGTACGTCCAGATGGGGTCATTGCGAGCACTTTTGGTTATTGGAGGGGAGGGGGGGAGGGCGAGGTTGGAGGGGGAGGGGGAGTCTGAGAAGGGATGTTGGAGGTTCGGGCTAGGCTGGAGAAGGCCAAGGTGCGGAGTGAGACGTTTGAGCTGCTTTCAATGCTCAACTCTTTGGAACATGTCTCTTCGAGATGACTTTTGAGTCGACTCAGAAGTCATTAGTCACCAAGATGCGGAGTGAGGCGTTTGAGCCGCTTTCAATGCTCCACTCTTCGGAACGTTTCTCTTCAACACTGCCGTGTTGATAAATAGAGGGACACAGTAGCGGCGTATCTTGAATGCGAGGCAGCTGGCGATCACCAATGGGCGGCAAAGGCGTTTGAGCTGCTGCACGAGGTGTCTGAGCGCATGCTTCTAGTGGTGATTATCTTTCTGTTCACACCTTCCTTCCCTGTCAACAGAGGGACGCAGTAGCGGCATACCTAGAGAGCGAGGTGGCCTGGGATGACCAAGGAGCGGGGGACGCCTTTGACCTGCTGCATGTGCTAACACTCATCTATCCGTTCTGTTCATACACTTTCTTTCACGAACAGAGGGATGCTGTGGCAGCCTACCTGGAGAACGAGGCTGCCGGCGACGACCAGGTTGCAGAGGACGCGTTTCAGCTTCTGCACGTGTTGAGCTTTCCTTTCAACCCCTCCTTCCCTGTTAACTCGTACTTCTTTGCTGACAGAGGGACGCAGTAGCGGCCTATCTTGAAAGCGAGGCAGCTGGCGACGACCAAGGGGCGGAGGACGCCTTTGAGCTGCTGCACGAGGTGTCGGAGCGCGTGCGCACGGGGTGCTGGGTGGGCGACTGCTTCATTTACAACAACTCCGCATGGCGCCTCAACTACTGCGTGGGAGGAGAGGTACGAGGGAGGGGAGAGAGGTGTGCTAGGTGGGGATAGGGAGGTACGTAAGGGGGAGGCAGAGACACTAGAAGTGCGTACGGGGTGCTGGGTGGGCGACTGCTGGGTGGGCGACTGCTGGGTGGGCGACTTCTGGGTGGGCGACTTCTGGGTGGGCGACTGAAACCACCTCGATCGCCCCATGTACCTTCTCGGGTACCTTCATTTGTTTGTGGCACCTGAAACCCCTCACCCTCCCCTCCTCTCTCTCCCCACTTCTCCCCCATTCTATACCACCAGGTGACCACCATGTACCATCTTGATCGCCCCATGTACCTGCTCGGGTACCTTGCAGCTCAGAGCCGAGTCTACCTCATCGACAAGGAATTCAAGTAAGCTGTCCCTGCTTGTGATTCGCTATAAGCCTGCTTAAAACCGAGTCCAGTTGATTGACAAGCAGTCCAAGCTGTTCTGGCTTGTGATTCGCTATATTCATGCTCATACCGAGTCCCCACCCACTTCCCGCTGCTCCATCCCCCCTGCCCCACCTTTCCCTCCACCCATCAGTTTCCTGCACCAGCGTGGTGAGCTACATGCTGCTGCTGAGCCTCATCGAGTACAAGGCACTGATGCTGCGATGAGACTGCAAGGGCTGATCTGCCTTCCATCCCTACCAAACATTGCAGACCCCACAGTCCTGCTTTCCCACGTTTCCCCACCCTCCCCTCTTCCCTGCACCAGTGTGGTGAGCTACACGCTGCTGCTGAGCCCCATCGAGTACAAGGCACTGACAGCTAGTGCTTGATTCGTGTTTCCCATGCCCGTGCTTCCCTGTGCCCCTGTGTCTGTCTGTCAGTGTGGTGAGCTACACGCTGCTGCTGAGCCTCATCGAGTACAAGACTCTCGTGCTGCGAGGAGACGTGGAGGGAGCAGAGGCTGTCCTGCCCTCCATCCCCCACGACCAGCTCAACAAGTCAGTATTTCTCTCTCTTGCTTGCTTCTCCTCCTCCTCGGTTATATAAGCACCTTCCTCTTTCCAGCTCAACAAGTCAGTCTTTTCTTGGCCATCTCCTCGTTTCATCTAGTCGGTCAACCTCTAGCTTTTCTTCATCGTTTCAACAAGGTCCATCTTTTTGTTTTCTTGTTATTGGCTGTCTGGGCTCCTTAGCTCTGCACCGGGATACACTCTGTGAGAGTCCTGCTTCCTTTGTCTCTCTCTTGTTCTCTCTCCACTCCCTGACGCAGCATGCCCTGCGACTTGCCCCTGCCCCCACTGGCTCCACTTGCTCCACTGGCTCCACTGGCTCCACTGGCTCCACTGGCCCCATTGGCTCCACTGGCCCCATTGGCTCCACTGGCCCCACTGGCTCCACTGGCCCCACTGGCCCCACTGGCTCCAACGACAAGTTCTGAGGCATCGCCAGCATGACCTAACCCCACACTCCCTCCTTCCCCCCCCTCCACCCCCCCACACCCCCTCCTACTCTCCAGCGTGGCCAAGTTCCTGGAGTCACGTGGCCTCATGGAGGACGCCCTGCGAGTGGCCACAGACCCAGACTACAAGTTCGACCTTGCTGTGCAGCTGGGACACCTGGAGATCGCCAAGGTTGTGTCTATTGTACTCGTTTTAGGATGTTAGTACGGATTTTTTTCCGAACGTCTTATAGTCTGGACTACTTGATAGTAGTTCAGACTACTAGTTCGACCTTGCAGTCCAGCTGGGCCACCTGGAAATCGCCAAGGTGTATATGCCTTCTCTTTTCGCATAGAACGTTAATGTGTGTTTCATTTCTTCCTTTAATCTCTCGATAAATCTCGACTAGAAGTTTGACCTCACCAGGCTGCTGGGCACCTGGAAATCGCCAAGGTGCAGTTCTGTCTGATCTTGCTTCTCTGTATTTCGTTGTTGTTTTTTTCTTCTTCTTCTTTCGTTTTTGCCTTCAGTCTTCAAATTGCCCTGTCCTGTACTATTCTCAAACACGTCCCTCCGTCCTGTGTCTGTGTGCTGTCTGGCTTTGCCCTCCCGGTGTGTGCAGGAGATAGCCGAGACAGCAGAGAGTGAGAACAAGTGGAAGCAGCTGGGCGACCTCGCTCTCTCTGCAGGCAATGTAAGTTTGCCAGTGCTTAACCTTTGTTAGCAGTGTGTGAGTTAGTACTGTATGAGGGCGAGGTGGGTGGGAGCTGGATGGTGTGAGAACAAGTGGAAGCAGCTGGACGACCTCGCCCTCTTCGCAGGCAACGTGAGTCATAGTCTTTGCCAATGTGGTCATACTCCTGTAACGATCAGAAATTACAGATAGTGTCGTGCACTCGCAGGATGAGTGTAATGGTGGGAGAGTTGGGGAGGAACAGAGAGTGAGAGCAAGTGGAGACAGGTAGGTGGGTGGGTGGCCTTGCTTGCTTCCGAGATGACTTTTGAGTGGACTCAAGGTGACATTTGAGTCGACTCAAGGTGACATTTGAATTGTCTCAAGGTGACATTTGAGTCGACTCAAGGTGACATTTGAGTGGACTCAAGGTGACATTTGAGTCGACTCAAGAGTGTAATGGTGGGAGTGTTGTGGAGGAACAGAGAGTGAGAACACGTGGAGGCAGGTAGGTGGGTAGGTGGGTGGGTGGATGGCCTTGCTTGCTTCCGACATGAGTAGGCTGCTGCTGCATCTTGCTCCGAGTGACAAGAGTCTTGCTCTCTCACCTCTCTCACCTCTCTCACCTCTCCTGCCTCTCCCGCCTCTCTCACCTCTCACCTTTCCCACTCTTCCTCACCTCTCACCTCGCCCACCTCTCCCACCTCTCCGGCCTCTCCCGCTCGTCCTCACCCGTCAGCCTGGCCTTGCAGAACGACATCTCAGCGCCGCCTCGCCTCTGACATGAGCGTCAAGAATCGATGCACCACAGGCGCAGGGTGACAGGAAAGGCATCCGCCAGCTAGCAGGGGGACTGAGTCTCGCGTACTGACTGACTAAGCCCTCCACTCCTTCCCTCCCTCCACTCCCCACTCTTGCCTCCCAGTCCCTCCTGATTGACCTGCGCCAGATTGGCTTGGCAGAGCAGTGCCTAGGCGCTGCCAAAGACATGAGCGCGCTTCCCCTCCTCTACATGGTGCAGGGCAGCAGGGAGGGCATCCGCCAGCTGGCAGAGAGAGGCTTAGTCTTGCTCGTTTTCCTCCTCCATTCTCTTTCCCCTTCCCTCTTCCCTGCTCGTTTTCCTCCTCCATTCGCTTTTCTCTTCCCTCTTCTCTGCTCCCCAAACAGATCGACTTGGCAGAGCGATGCCTGAGTGCCGCGTCCGACATGAGCGGGCTGCTCCTGCTGTACACAGCCCAGGGCAACAGGGACGGCATCCGCCAGCTGGCAGAGACGGCCAGAGCGGGCGGCAAGTTCAACGTGGCGTTCCTCTGCCTCTTCCTGCTGCAGCAGACGGAGGAGTGCATTGGACTGCTGTGCCAGAGGTAAAGAGGGGGTGGGGAGGGGAAGGTGGCAGGGGGGGACAAAACAAGTGGGCACGGGTGGATGGGTTTGGTTGGGGTGCTATTGGGGTAGCGCTCCTCTGCCTCTTCCTGCTGCAGCAGACGGGGGAGTGCATTGGACTGCTGTGCCAGTGGAATGTGGTGTTTCTGAATACTTGCCCTGCATTCGAAGGATGTTGGGAGGTTGAAAAGATACTCACGCACACGTTTTCCCCACCCCTGGACTCTCTTCCCAAATTCGACATTCAAATAAATCAAACAACATAAACTGACTTCCGTGTCTCTGCCTGACCCATTGGATCTCTCTTTCATATTCCCCATTCTCTCTTTCATATTCCCCATTCTCTCTTTCATATTCCCCATTCTCTCTTTCAAATTCCCCATTCTCTCTTTCATATTCCCCATTCCCCTCGCAGCGGTCGAATTCCCGAGGCAGCCTTCCTTGCTCGCACCTACGTGCCCTCGAAGGTGTCAGAGGTGGTTGACCTGTGGCGGGCAGATCTCAAGAAGGTATGACTTGAGATATTATGTATGGTTAGGCACAGGACAACACAGAAGGGATGGGGCATGACACATGGTACAGGTACGTGCCATCGCATGTGTGTGAAGTGGTTCATCTTTGGTTTGCGGATCTAAGAAGGTATGGCTTGAGGTATTATGTATGACCAGGCACAGAACAGCATAGAAGGGATGGGGCATGCCGCATGGTAGAGGTACGTGCCATCGCAAGTGTGAAGTGGTTTATCTCTGGCGGGTGGATCTTAAGAAGGTGTGGTTGAGGGATGCGGTACAGCTTGGTAATGCTGGTACGGCACAGGACAGCTGAATTGGGTGATCTGTGCTGCAGGAAAGCAAAGTCGCTGGCAGATCCAGCAGGACACTCCAACCTCTTCCGCAACTGGTGTCCTACTTTTCGCTTTTGCGTGCCCACAAAATCTGCCCCATCGCGTATACATCTCTTACCTGTTACCCTTGTGTAGCACCCTTGTATGCATTCCCACCCTGTCAACTGCAGATCAACGCCAAGGCAGCTGAGTACCTGGCAGACTTAGCGGAGTACTCCAACCTCTTCCCCAACTGGGCCCCTTTCACGCGCCATCCCTTGCTCTGCATCCTTGGTGTGCATGCCCACTCCCTGTCCATTCCCCCCTTTCCTGTACAGATCAACGCCAAGGCAGCTGAGTCCCTGGCAGACCCGGCAGAGTACCCCAACCTCTTCCCCAACTGGGCCCTCGCTCTTCAAGCAGAGGAGCAGCTCCGGCCAGCCAGGTGAGGGGAGTGTGAGGTCAGGTGAGGCGAGAATGCACCTTTTGCTTCCCTTGTTATGCAGTTCCCCTGTATCTCAAAGTTCCATATCTTTTGTTTTTCCCGAAGTACCCCTTATCACCGTATCTGGAGCTCAAGGACAGCACCTAACTCAGGCCTGGTGGATGAGCTGCGAGCTGCAACAGAGGCAGCGGCAGAACTGACGAATTAGAGAACAGTAGTAATTGTATCTCATCTTGCTCCAAGCCATTTCCTCTCGTGTGTTTTGCAGGGAGGTAGAGGATGCTGCCTCGCAGTACCTGGAGCTTAAGGAGATCGACTCAGACCCAGTGGAGGGTGTAGCATACAGTATTTTGTTCACTGGTCCTCTGTGTGTTTTTCAGGGAGGTAGAGGAGGCTACCTCACAGTAACTGGAGCTGAAGGACAGTGTTATTTTAGACCCAGTGGATGAGAGTTTCATGAAGTACCTTGTGCTCTGCTTTTATCTGTGTGTGTTGCAGGGCGGTAGAGGAGCCTGCCTCACGGTACCTGGAGCTGAAGGACAGCATCAACTCAGACCCAGTGGATGAGCTGCGAGCAGCGGCAGAGGCAGAGGAGGCAGAGGAAGTGGAGGCAGAGGAAGTGGAGGCAGAGGAAGTGGAGGCAGAGGCAGAGGGAGAAGCGGAGGTGGAAGCGGCAGTTGAAGAGGCAGTGGAGGAATCTGCTGAGGCAGCTGCTGAGGTGAGCACACAAGCTACAAGAGCCGAATTTCCAGGCCCTTTTTTCCACATTAGCAACTGCCTAGCCACTGCTCCCATCCTGACAAAATAGCTATGATTGGATGTTGCAGGAGGATTTCGGGGATGCGGAGCCAACTGGAGAGGCAGGAGCTGGAGATGCTGAGGATATTGATGATGATTGGGGCGAGGAAGATCCGTAGGTGATGATGTTAATTTCAGATGCTGTTGTACACCCAGCTAAGACTAGTGCTTACTTACCAGTACCAATCAAACAATACACACTTGGTATCTTGTACTTTCAACCTCCCAAGCCACTGTATGAACAGTTGATATACAGAATTGAATAGTTCATGATGGTGTTTGCCAGTGTCACAGAATGGCATGGCAAGGAGAGATTCCAGCATGAGGGTCACGCCCAACAACAATGGTATCACTGGATAATGGCCCATCCTAGATCACTAAGGCGGCCTCACAAGCCGGCCATTGGGATCCCGATTCCACAACGCCTTGGTCTCAACGATGCAGTTACTCAGTGGGGCGCAGAGGTAGTAGAAGCATGCACCCTGTGGCATCTCAGAATAAAGTAGCCTCGCCTGTGCATCCTGCCATGCCTGAACGGCTGCAGTTATCCATTTAAAGCCAACCTCCAAGCTGTACTGCAGAGAGGTTGTTGCCTGAACCACTTTATCGACTCCCGTGTAGACTATTCTGAGCAAGAGGTAGAAGCACATCAGGACGCCTGCAGCAGTACTTAGAAGCGATTTGAGAGCTCCACTTTTAGAATCTTCTCTCAATTCGCAGGTCAAATGATCAGTCAATATAAGGCTGGAAATTATGGATTGCACTGAACACTGGGGACCTGGGGAAAAAAATCATGTGAGAACGTTGACAGTGCTTTAGCAAATCCAATTCCTGCCTTTGTACATACCTTGGACTTTACTCATTGGCCAGTTGCTTTCCGCTAGGTCTTCTCCAGCGCACACAGGGAGAGCAGCAGGAACATTGAACAAAAGCACCAGCTCACTAGTCTCTGGCAACGCTGTGTGCATTTGGTTAGTACAGATCGCCGTGGTATCAATATCAGAAAATTATTGGCCTTACAAATTGTTGTCAGAGGCGTTTCGTAGTCCGGGTCAATGTCTCTCTCGTCAACATCCAGCCGTTGTACCCCCAAGACTGGAAAAGAGGAAGAGTCAAGAGACGGTACAACGGTGATGTTACTTGAAGTTCTCCAGACGAGACGAGCTTACCTGTGAAGGAATGGCTGATAACATGTGTTGATTGGCCTCCGCGTGGAATGCGGACTGTCATTGTGCCTCGCTTTGACGGAGATTGACAACCGCCATATTTGAAGGCGTATGAGCTCGTTTTGTTCATTTCCAGCGACCAGCTCCATCTCTGTAAAAACGAACGTCAAGTTCTCGCATTGAAGAACGTCATGTGTAGACAACTCGGTAATCGCGAACCTGGCCTTCGATGTCGACTCGAAGATGAACATGTTGGGGTCGTGGGGAAAAGTTCCTATCCAATGTGACATTTCTGCAACGAAACCATGAAGTTAAAATAACTGTTGCATCGCTTGCAAGAGGAGAAAGGAGCGCGGAAAACCGTACCCGAAGAGTACAAAAGGCGGACCCTGCTTCTGCGGCTCGGCGATACTGGCCGCGACAGCACTAAGCGTAGCCAAGAGAAAACATAGCAACAACGCAAACACCGTGGATATCCCGACTCCAGACACTTGAAAGCGCTCCATTAAGTGGCTGTACAACGGTTAGTAGAAGAGCGTGATACTCGGACGAGGGAGTGGTATTGCCGGAATGGATCGTTGGCCGTGCTACCACAGCATGACTCCTATCTCAAGCACACCAGGAAGCTCCATGTTGAGGGGAAGCAGCGAAGGGAATGGAGGCGTTCTCGAGTTTATGCCAAATGTATGTTTCATTTTCAGTACGCTATATCGGCTCAGTTACCACAATCATTTCTGCAAGGGCGGCGACGCAAACCAGCTTTGTATCTGCAGTTCAGGGCGATTCATAAATTCGTCCGCTCTTCGTGCTGAATTCGCATGGGCTTCCTGGCATTCACGAAAAACACAAACCTGAGTTCCTGCATTCAGGAAGGAGGGCGAAAATGTTCCTAGCTTCCCCCTATGCTCGAACTGGTAGCGAAGTGAACTGAATGGAAGACGCGTCCTTGCATCCCAACTAGTATTCCCCGCTGCACCCCCCTGCGCTCCCCTCATCCCTCCCCATTTCTCCCCCTTGCGCGCCCTGCGCTCCCCTCCCCCTGCCTCCCCTTCGCCTCCGTCTCTCCCTTCCCCAACTCGTCTTGTTATTTCTTAATGACCTGTTTCTCTAGCGAGCTTCTGTACCCTCGTTTGCGGGTGGAAAAATCGTCACCATTTTTTCTCGGTTCCGTCAATCAGTACAATACTCCCTGCATTATTTTGGTCTAGCTTTTCTTGCTCCAGCTGCTAGGTCTTTCACGATGCGGGACAGACCGGCGATCCGACGGCTATCAGAGGATCTTCTCTCCAAGATCCTCCATCTGGCCGGCGAATCCGGCAGCTTTTTCCAGCACGCTCTCGTCTGCAAGGAATGGCATCGCATCGCTTGTCGCGTTCAGGACCACATCAGCCTACGCGAAAACCATCGCATGCGTCCTCGTCAATTTATCTCCGAGCTCTCGCAATTCCCAGGCCTCAGATACCTCGTCCTTCCTTCCGGTAGCCTCACCTCCATCCCGGACTTCCTCCTCTCTCGCGTAGCCGACATGTGTCCAGATCTGATAAATCTTCACATTGAATCAACGGATCAGATCTACCGGCGCGGGGGTTTCACCGAGGAAGGCCTCTCCTTGCTTTTTGAGGGGTGTGTACGGCTAGAGGATCTTCATCTCGATTGCCCTCCCCGTCTCACCTCCATCCCGTCTTCCATCGGCGCGCTCCTCTGGCTCAGGGATCTGCATCTCGCTGCGAGCAACGTCGCTCATCTCCCCGATGCAGTCACCTCGTTACAGTCACTCGAAAACATCGAGCTGCACATGGACAGCTTGGAAGATCTACCGTCAGATTTCGGCAATCTAATCCATCTAGAATCGCTGCGGCTGGAGGGTTGCCGGTTTCTTACTTCCCTCCCGGAATCTCTTGGGTTACTTACCAATCTAGACCATCTCTACATCAGCGGCTGCAGCATGCTTCAGCTTCCAGTTTCTCTCTGCAATCTCTTATCTTTGGTGGTCCTCGAGATTCACAAATGCCAAGATCTTTCCCCGCTGCCCGCAAACCTCGGGCAGCTGCAGTCGCTCGAGATTTTACTTCTGGACGAGGTGATGGGGCTCACAGATCTGCCAGAGTCTCTCGGGAAGCTGCAGCGGCTGAGGCTACTCCAACTGATTGGCTGCTTCGGAATTTTGTCTCTGCCCAGATCCCTTCCCCGTGTATCATCCCTGACGGGCCTCAACCTGGTTGTCCCGACTCTTTCAGTGCTGCCCGATGACATCGGGCAGTTAACAAATCTTCGGAGCCTCATGCTGGACGCGCAGAGCCTCACAAGCCTCCCGGATTCCATCTGTCTGGCCACCGCGCTTCAAGAGCTTGCCATTGACGGCCTCCGAACTGTATCCTCTCTGCCCGAAGAATTTGGGCAGCTGACTGCCCTGGAAACCCTCCGCCTGGCCAGCCTTCCACGACTCACCCACCTGCCCGAGTCTATTGGAAACCTGACAAATCTGCAGGAGCTGAAAGTTGTCAAGTGTGCCCGCCTGCAGCAGCTGCCCGATTCTCTATCCAGTCTATCTGCCCTCGAAAAGCTGAATCTAAGCGATAACCAAAGGCTGACGGCTCTACCAGACGGCATGGGGGATGGCCTACACTGCCTGAAAGAACTCCTCCTGGTACCGTGCAAAGCCCTCACCCACCTCCCTCCATCCTTCTCCAGTCTCTCATCTCTCGAAACCCTAAGAATCCTCCAAGCAGACAGCTTCAGTGAGCCGCTACCAGAGGGCTTTGGCTGCTTGAGAAGCCTCAAGGAGCTCTGGCTCTGCTCCATGCCGCACTTGTCAGACTTCCCTGCGTCTCTCCCTGGCCTCGCTCTCACACTCACCAGCCTCTTGGTGGCCAACTGCCTGGAAATAACAGAGCTACCTGAGGAGATCGGACGGCTGCAAGCGCTCGAAGAGCTCAAGATATCGAAACTGTACGGCCTGGATTCGCTCCCGCAGTTGCTGTTTGAGCTGCCCCGACTACGGGCGCTAGAGGTGTGTGCGTGCACGGGGCTCAAGGCGTTGTTTGGGGATGAGAACATGGGAGAACCAGAGCAGGTTTCTGGAGACGCTAGCACCAGCGGTACCCTGGTTAGCAATAACAGCAGCGGAGGCAGAGGCAGCGGCAGTGGAAGCGGCAGGGGCAGCAGCAGCGGTGGTGCCAGTGGCAACGGCAGTGGGGGATGCACCGGCGCTGGTAGCAGTCCCAACTGGAGCGCTGAACGCGTGCTGCTTCCATCCCTGCAGAGTCTTGAGCTGGGGGACCTTCCTTTTGAGGCGCTTGGCCCGTCCCTGGGCCGCCTGACTTCCATAACAAGGCTGGAGTTTTCAGACATGAATTCCCTGCTCTCTCTCCCGGATTCGATCTCTGACCTTTTGGAGCTTCAAGAACTTGTGATTGCTCATGCCAAGTTCCTCGAGGCCTTGCCAGACGCAATAGGAAGGCTTTCCAGGCTTGCTTCCCTCCGGCTTGTTGGCCTTGAAAATTTGTGTGAGCTGCCCGAGTCTTTTGGGCAGCTGAGCATGCTCCAGTCACTGGAAATCGAGGACTGTACGAAGCTGGCCCGGCTTCCTGTCTCATTCCCCAACCTGCCCAATCTGAAACTCTTAGTTGTTTCCAGCTGCCCGGGAATCGCATGCATCCCGGAGGATGTCTGGAAGCTTTCCTCCCTTCAGAGCCTGGTGCTGCTCAACCTGCAAAATCTTCGGAGCCTGCCCAGTTCTTTTTCGCAGCTGCCCGGACTCGAAGATCTGAAGCTGTGTTACTGTGAGCAGCTGGCGCAACTGCCAGCGTCTCTCTTGGAAATGCCGACGCTGCGTGCGTGCATGATCCGTGAGTGTCCGCTGCTTTCGGAACGGAGGACGGAGGTGCGCTATGGGAGGGGGAGTGGGGAGGAGGGAGAGGAGGGAGTGGTTGGGGTGGAAGATGGGGAGGACGATGAGGAGGGGGATGAGGAGGATGAGGAGGATGAGGAGGATGATGATGATGAGAATGAGGACAGTGCGGAAGAAGATGAGGATGATGAGCATGAGGATGGTGAGGAAGGTGATGAGGAGGAGGACAGCGAGGAAGATGACGATGTGGAGGAAGGGGATGATGACGAGGAAGGGGAAGACCAGGCGGAAGTGTTAAACGAGGATGGGGAGGGAAACAGGGTTGCCTAGGAAGAGGAAGTGATAGAACGAGGAGCAATCGTGCTTGCTTGCGAAGCAGCTCGCTTCGTGGAAAGAGTGTTTGCTCTTAATTCACATTTCCGTGCCGATTGTGCAGCATTACACTATTGCAATACCAAGTTATGTGTGCTCGTAAAAATTCTTCCGTCTTAGCTTGAGGCTTGTTTGTCTGCCACCTATTGCATCATTGCCTCAAGCATACCATCTTTATTCTCTGCTTAGCTCACCTCAATTTTATGACAGAAATGGTCGTTAACGATGTTGTCTATAACGAACCTCTCAGCTTCACACCGAGGTTCGGTACGTGTAGGAGCAGGAACCGTTTGGCTCGGTTCGCGAAGGTTCTGTGCTTTCAGAATTCCAGCAGCAGCAATTTCTGCAGAGTCGATTATTCAGACTTCGAAGCTCCTGCCGAAGTGGATTCGCGATTGCTGCAGGTTCGGCTGGAGCGAGCTTTTGCTCAGAGACTAGTCTCTAGTCGCTATCGTCTGTAGAGAAATATGAGACGCGGGCTTTAAAATGTCGGAAGCTGCGGGGAATAGTGCATTCGAGAACGAGTCATAGCGTGGAAGCCGTCCCTTCAGCGGCTTGAATAAATTCCTTCTACCGCCTTGAATTCTTCCTTTTACTGGCTCGAGCCTTTTTTTCCACCGGCTCGAGCTCTTTCCTTTCACTGGCTTGAGGAACGTGGAACGAACCCAATGGCCCCTCAGCTTGTGCTCATGGTACCGAATTCGATGACTGCTAGGAATTTCGGTGTACTTGCGTTTTGATCGTGGTACCAGGCATTGACCAGCTGTCGAGAAAGTTGCAGTGCTCCCTAATCGCTGTCGCTGAAGCAATCGAGATCGCAGCTCTTGCCACCCTTCTTTGGAACGTCTCTGTGAATCTGCTCCGCGTTTCCTCCCTTCAACCTTTCAATCAATTTCCCCTTACCTGTCCCGCCTCCTTTATTTCTCCCCGTCCCCAGTTGCACCTTTTTGACCCCCTAATGCTCTCATCACATTCCTCACTCGAGCCGGAAGCTCTTTCTATCCCTCACCCTGCTTCCTGCTTCTGACCAATCCCCGCCTGCCAGGTGGCAGAGAAGCCCAGCATCGCTTCCACCATCGCTCAAGTCATGTCGCATGGGCAGGTGAGGAGAATATTCGTGGCGTGAAGCTTATTATGATTATTATCATTTGGGAAAGCGTTTTAGGTTGTTGTTTCAATCAATTCAACGACATGTCAAGTCATTCCTGACTCATGTCACCCTCGCATTTCTCTGCTCCAGATGTCGTCCCGTCGCTCGTGGTTGGACGTGCATGAGTTTAACGGTGAATTCCGAGGAGCTCCTGCCCGATTCAGAGTGACATCCGTTATCGGCCATGTGCTCAGGTGTGCTCAATATAGTCACAAGAGGTCTTTTCAACATTGTCACACAAGATTTCGAGATACTCACTCAAGGTTTTCACAGTCGTCGCTGCTCGATTTAGAGTCACATCCGTCATCGGCTGTGCGCTCAGGTGCCGTGTGTTCAGGTGCCATGCGCTCAGGTGCCATGCGCTCAGGTGCCATGCGCTCAGGTGCGATGTGCTCAGGTGCTTCTTCACGCGAGTACAGTCACGTCAAATATTGTAATTCGAGTATAGTATAGTATAGTTGCACAAGCTGCCTTGATGTAGTCACACAAGGTGCACTCCCTGCAATCACGCGAGGCAACATCGACCCTAGTAGGGTCACCCTACCTTGGGCGGCTGGGACCCCTGCGTTGACTTCCCCTGCAGCTACTGAAGTTGAGCAGTCACTGATCCCTTGCATTCAAAGCATGGAGACAGTTCTAATGCTTGCTATCTGTAGAGATCTGTAGAGTCATTTCTGAGATTTCTAAACTGTGACTCCCTTGTATTCATGGCATGGTGACAGCTCTTATGCTTGCTGTATCCCTGCTTGGCTCGATCCCTGCGTCGAATTCCCACTGGCATTCTATCTCCCTACCATAGCTGGGACGCGACAGACCCCTTATAGTCATGACACGACGTTCATATTGGCCACCTGTGGTCCCTTTTTGCGCCCCGTCGTCCCCCCTCTCCCTCCCTGCAACCCCCCCTTCCCAGCATTGACTTCCCCCCCAGCTACCAAAGCTGGGACGCCACAGACCCTGCATCGCTCTTCACTGCTCCCACGCTCAAGACAGAATCCAATCCTAAGGTGCGGCGCAATCCGGACCTAAGGTACGACAGTACGGTGTCCAATTCTAAGGTAGTTTGGACGCCACTGACTGACCCACTCGCTCTTCACAGCTCCCACTCACGCTAAGACGCCCCCAAGGTACAGTAGCCTGTAGGTACCTTTTTTTTTATTTCTTTTTTATCGTTCACTGTCACTCACTGTCTTACCTGGTTGTGAGAACCTTGATCAACAGTAGGTGTACTGTCCCCTCCCCTCACTCTGTGGGTGCTGTCCTGTGCGTGCAGTGATATGCGGTGCTGTGCAGACGCATGTGTGCGAGCACGTACATGCAGCGTCCAAGTGTGGCTCCATCAAATTAATGCTCTGCTCTGTGTGGTTATGTGGGGGGCTGTGTGGTGCTGTGCGGTGCAGGCACATGTGTGCAAGCACCTACAAACGGAGGCGAAAGGATGTGATGCCCTCGTCTTGTGGCTGGACTGCGACAGAGAGGGGGAGAACATCTGCTTTGAAGGTGGATGGATTAGGGTGGGTGGAGTAGGGTGGAGAAGGGAGGTTAGGGTTTCTAAGACATATTCTCAGCCAACTTGCCCTCGTCTTGTGGCTGGACTGCGACAGAGAGGGGGAGAACATCTGCTTTGAAGGTGGGTGGATTAGGGTGGGTGGAGTAGGGTGGAGAAGGGAGGTTAGGGTTACTAAGACATACTCTCAGCCAACTTGCCCTCGTCTTGTGGCTGGACTGCGACAGACATAAGGAGCCCCCCCAACCCATAACGTGTTCCGGGCATCCGAGCCAAGTTTTCCAGCGATTGGACCAAAGGATATTCACCAAGCTATTGCGCGGCTGGGGGCGCCCAATAAAGCCATGCCCTGCTCCGTTTCCCTGAGGAGCCCTCAAAGCGTCATCCGAGCCAAGGGCCAAGTTTTCAGCCACAGAGGAAAAGGAAAGTTGGCAAGCCTTGGCACGGCTGGGGGCGCCGAATGAGGTGGAGGCGAAGGCAGTGGATGCGATGTGAGGCAGGAGCTCGACCTCAAAGTGGGGATGGCCTTTGCTTTGCCCTTCCCCTCCTCCTCTTCCTCTCTGTACCTGGCCTTGCATTCCGCAAGCCATGACTCGGCTGGGGGTGCCGAATGAGGCGGAGGCGAAGGCAGTGGATGCGATGTGAGGCAGGAGCTCGACCTCAAAGTGATGGTGGTGGGATGGCTGTTGCAAACCATCCCTCTTCTTTGCTCCTCCCGTCTTCAACCCAACCCGCTGGTTCAAACCCACTGCAGTGATGGAGAGCGCACAGCCCAGCATGAAGCATCCCCAGAACGTGTTCCGGGCGAGGTTCTCAGCGATCGGAGAACAGGACATTAGGCAGGCCATGGCACGATTGGGACGCCCAATGAAGCGGAGGCGAAAGCAGTGGATGCGAGGCAGGAGATCGATCTCAAAGTGGGGGTGACCCTCGTCGTAACCTTCGTCTTTGCTTCTCCTGCTACTGCTCCCAACCCACTGTTTCAAACACACTGCAGTGATGGCGCACACGCAGCCAAGCATGAGGAGCCCTCAAAACGTCTACCGAGCCAAGTTCTCAGCGATCGGAGAAAAGGACATCAAGCAAGCCATGGCGAGGCTGGGGGTGCCCAATGAGGCGGAGGCAAAGGCAGTGGACGCGAGGCAGGAGATTGATCTCAAGGTCGGGGTGGCGTTCACGAGGTTCCAGACGCGCTTTTTCCAAGGGAAATACGGCAACCTGGACTCGTCCCTCATCTCGTGAGTGGCTTGGGGAAGGAAATGTAACCAGACAGGCAGGCGGAGAGAAGGTATGAGGAAAAGAGAGGACTGCTGAGGATAGGAGGGAGAGAATGGCGGGGGGTTCATCATCATCTGCAGTGATAGGAAGGGCAAACTGTGATTTTGTTTTCTCATATTTTTTTCCTCTCATTGTCTTCAAATGGCACAGTAGTCGCCCTTACGTGTCCCTCATCTGTATTGCCCCACTGTTGGGTTCGTTTTCTAGTCAGTTGAGCATTCTACCCTCGACCCTTGTTCTCTCCCCTGAGTCCCCTCCCGTCCATACCATACCGCCTTGCTCACTAACAGGTACGGCCCCTGCCAGACCCCCACGCTGGGCTTCTGCGTGGCCCGCCACCAGCGCATCACATCGTTTGTCTCGGAGCCCTTCTGGGCGGTGCGGCCAATCGTAGTCCGGGACGGCCGCCAGCTGGCGCTGCAGTGGGCGAGAGGGAGGCTTTTTGACAAGGAGGTGAGTGGGGGGGAGGTGGGGGAGGAGGTGACTGGGGGGGGAGGAAAGGTGGGATAGGGGGTGAGTGGGGGGGAAAGGTGGGATAGGGGGTGAGTGGGGAGGAAAGGTGGGATAGGGGGTGAGTGGGGGTGGGGGGGAAAGTTGGAAGAGCAGATGAGGCTGGGGGGGGGAAGAAAAGGTGGGAGAGGAGGTGAGGTGGGGGGGGAAGGTGGGAGAACAGGGCAGGAACAGGGCAGGAAGGGAGGTGGGGGGAGGTGGAGGGAGGTGGAGGGAGGTGGGGGGAGGTGGGGGGAGGTGGAGGGAGGTGGAGGGGATTGGATACTGGACAAGTTGTGCTTACATATATGGCAACTGCCACTACTTTCGGAACGGGTCAAGGGAGGGGTATGGGAGATGGGAACCAGTGGTGATGGGTAGACATGGGCATAGGACCGAGCCGGCTCGGCTTGAACCCGGCTCGGCTCGGGTCGCGGCTTCATGTGTTAAGAGCCGAAGCCCAAGCCGGGGGCAAGCTGAATCCCGGCTCAACCGGGCTCGGCTTCAGCGCGGCTTGAGCGGCGGGCGTAAAAAATCGACCCCCCTGAAAACGCGACTCTCAACGAGAGTCGCGTTTTTTGAAACTCTAGACTGGCACCCGCCTCTTTTCCCGGCTTCAGCTAGACCCCCCCCCTCCTCCGGCCTCCAGGCTTAACAAAACGAGCCGAGCCGAGCCTGGCTCGTTACTGGCTCGGCTTCGGCTCGTAGCCGGCTTCACCAAGCCAAGCCGGGCTTCAGCTGAAGCCTGCTCATTCCGGCTCGGCTCGGCTCGCTTGAAGCCCGGATCGAAGCTGGCTCGAACCTGGCTCGGCTCGGCTCGAGCCAATGTGTAGTGACGGGTGGGGGTTTAGCATCAGGGGCGGGGATGCGGGCAATGGGTCTGCCACTTGAAAAGATCCCCCATTGTCTTAAGCCAGCTGGTGCTACGGTTGGGGGCGTTTTCATGAAGTGACGAGAAAGTGCAGGGGAAGGGGGGTAGGGGGGGAGGGGAGATGCTGGGAAGAGCACCTGGCTACAGCTTGGTGCAGGGGGAGGGGTGGGGGAGAGCACCAGCTGGAGAAAAGAAAGGAAGGGGCAGCCACCAGGCTGAGTACTTGCCCCTGCATTTCCCTTCTCCCCTTTCCCCCTTCCCCTTCCTTTTTTTCCGCCCCCTCTCCATTTCTCCCTCCCCGCCACCCGTGCATCCCTTCCCTTACCCATGCATCCCTCGCCTCGCTCACCCATCTATCTCCCCCTTTCATGCGTCAGCTCAGCCGTCGCCTGATCTGTAAAAACTCGCCCGTGCATCCCCCACTCTTGCGCTTTCCTCCTTTCTTCGACCCATGTATCCCCTCCTGGCATGTTATTGAGGCGCCCGGGAAAAATACTCTACTGTACTGTGGATTCTTTTTTTTGAATTCTAAAAAATTGCTCAAATCTACTATTCTCTTGCTTGTTGCCCCCCACTCTCTTCCACCCACGTCCCTCCTCCTGCCAGGTTGCGGATTTCTTCAGAGAGAGGAGTGCAGCAGGGGGGAGTGCCACACCACTGTGAAGAGTATGCGGGTGAAGGAAGAGAGAAAGGGGCGGCCCACAGGACTGCATGAACACTCACTCATTTGTGTATCGGCCCCCCATGTATCGGCCCCCCTATCAGGTGGCGAATTTCTTTCAGAGAGAGGTGGCAGCAGGGGGGGCTGCCACGGTAACGAGTGTCAGCGTGAAGGAAGAGCAAATGGGGCGGCCTGCAGGGCTGAATGTACACTCATGTAGCCGTGCATTTCCCTCTTCCCCTTCCCCCCGCCCTCCCCCCTTTTCTCCTATCAGGTTGCGGATTTCTTTCAGAGAGAGGTGGCAGCAAGGGGGGCTGCCACGGTAACGAGCGTGAGTGTGAAGGAAGAGCAAATGGGGCGGCCTGCAGGGCTGAATGTACACTCACGTAGCCGTGCATTTCCCTCTTCCCCTTCCCCCCGCCCTCCCCCCTTTTTTCCTATCAGGTTGCGGATTTCTTTCAGAGAGAGGTGGCAGCAAGGGGGGCTGCCACGGTAACGAGCTTGAGTGTGAAGGAAGAGCAAATGGGGCGGCCTGCAGGGCTGAATGTACACTCACGTAGCCGTGCATTTCCCTCTTCCCCTTCCCCCCGCCCTCCCCCCTTTTTTCCTATCAGGTTGCGGATTTCTTTCAGAGAGAGGTGGCAGCAGGGGGGGCTGCCACGGTAACGAGCGTGAGCGTGAAGGAAGAGCAAATGGGGCGGCCTGCAGGGCTGAATGTACACTCACGTAGCCGTGCCTTTCCCTCTTCCCTTTTCCCCGGCCCTCCCCCCTTTCCTATCAGGTTGCGGATTTCTTTCAGAGAGAGGTGGCAGCAGGGGGGGCTGCCACAGTAACGAGTGTGAGTGTGAAGGAGGAGAGGAAGGGGCGGCCCACAGGGCTGAACACGGTGGACATGCTGAAAGCTGCCTCATCGGGACTGGGCATGGGCCCGCACCATGCTATGCAGATTGCAGAGAGGCTGTACACCCAGGGATACGTCAGGTGAGAGGAGTGCAGTGTCTGCAGTGCGTAGGGGATTTTTGAGTCGACTCAAAAATCACCAGGTGAGAGGAGTGCAGTGTCTGCATTGCGTAGGGTGTCTGCAGTGTCTGCAGTGCGACACTGTGAGGAGTGTGAGAGTGAAAGGGGAGAGGAAGGAAGGGGCGACCAGCAGGGCTGAATACAGTGGATGTGCTGAAAGCAGCTTCGCCAGGACTGGGGATGGGCCCGCACCATGCTATGCGGATTGCAGAACGGCTGTACACCCAGGGTTACATCAGGGCCTAGAGGAATAAGGAATGGGTTGCCTACAGGGCTGAGCACAGTGGATACGTTTTTGAGGCGCCTCAAAAATAGACTTCCCACAGGGCTGAGCACGGTGGATATGCTGCCAACCGCCTTCTCAGGACTGGGCATGCGGCCACAGCATGCCAGGAAGATCACAGAACAGCTGTACACCCAGGGGTGTACTGGTGTGTAACGGAGTGCTGTGCGGTGAAGGGGGAGAGGAAGGGGCGGCCAACAGGGTTGAGCTCGGTGGATATGCCGAAAGCCGCTTCCAGTGGATTGGGCTTGGGCCCGCACCACGCCAAGCAGATTGCGGACGGGCTTTTCACCCAGGGATACACCAGTTGAGTGTGTGTCAGGGTATGGAGTGTGTGTCAGGGTATGGAGTGTGTGTCAGGGTATGGAGTGTCTGTCAGGGTATGGAGTGTGTGTCAGGGTATGGAGTGTGTGTCAGGGTATGGAGTGTGTGTCAGGGTATGGAGTGTGTGTCAGGGTATGGAGTGTGTGTCAGGGTATGGAGTGTGTGTCAGGGTATGGAGTGTGTGTCAGGGTATGGAGTGTGTGTCAGGGTACGGAGTCTGTGTCAGGGTATGGAGTGTCTGTCAGGGTATGGAGTGTCCTTTGACACGCTTTCAGTGCAGTCATGCCACGCCACATATGTACGTGCAGAGGGGAGTACGTGCAGAGGGGAGTACGTGCAGAGGGGAGTACGTGCAGAGGGGAGTACGTGCAGTCTCTCCTGTTGTGGGGCCATTGCCCCCTTCTCTCTCTTCCTCCCAAGGATTACTTTTCAGGCGGCTCGAAAGCCAATGTCCCCTTCTCTCTCTGAGGCGCCTCAAAACGACTTTTGAGGCGCCTCAAAGGATAAAGAGACGACTTTCGAGGCGCCTCAAAGGATAAAGAGACGACTTTTGAGGCGCCTCAAAAGGATAAAGAGACGACTTTTGAGGCGCCTCAAAAGTCGTTTTGAGGCGCCTCAAAAGTCCTCCCAAGGATTGCTTTTCAGGCGGCTCAAAAGCCAATGTCCCCTTCTCTCTCTGCCTCCCAAGGAAGACGAGCAGCGCTGCTGCTGCGGGTGTTCTTATTGGGGCCCCTTTCTCCACCCCCTCTCCTGTTGCTGGGGCCATTGCCCCCTTCTCTCTCTGCTCCCAAGGAATACTTTCAGCGCTGCTGCTGCAGCAGATGTTCTTAGTGGGAACCGCCTTCTCAACCCCCCTCTTTCTTCCCTTTGCTTCCCTTGTCCGATTGTTTCCCACCAGCTACCCTCGAACTGAGTCAACAGCCTACCCCTCGTCCTTCGACTATAAAGACGCCCTTTCGATACAGTCACGCCATGGCATATGGGGGGAGTACGTGCAGTCACTGCTATTGATTGGCCCCACGCAGCCCAGAGCGGGGAAGGACGAGGGGGACCACCCGCCCATCACACCCATGCGCGCTGCAGACGAGGGCGAGCTAGGGGGAGGGGACGCTTGGAGATTGTATGAGCTTATAACGAGGCACTTTATAGGGAGCTTCAGCCCTGATTGCAGGATTGCCAGGTATGCGTGAAAATGAAAAGTCAAGGGGGAGACACCCGCCACCTGCCACCACGGTTCACGCCCGTGTGACAACTAAATGAGAGGAGAGGGGGGGGGGGGGGGGGGGGAAAGGGGGGACCAGACCAACCGCTCATGACACCCATGCGCGCTGCTGACGAGGGTGAGCTAGGGGGAGGGGACGCTTGGAGATTGTATGAGCTTATAACGAGGCACTTTATAGGGAGCTTCAGCCCTGACAGCAAGATTGCGAGGTAGGGAGATGATGGGGAGGGCTTGGGGGGTGGGGTTTTGGTGGGGGATTCGTTATAGCGGCTGCGTTAGCTTATAAGTTACAAGTTGTATATTATATGTTATATGTTATAACGAGGCACTTCTCCTCCTCCTGTTTGGCACCTTACCACAGCTTATGATCTAAATCTACCCCTCCCCTCTTTCTTCCTTCACACCTCCCCACTCCCCCCCCCCTGACCCAACCCCAACATCCCCCACCCCACACCAACCAGGACACGTGTCACCTTCTCAGTGGCTGGAGAGCAGTTCTCAGCATCGGGGCGAAAGCTGCTATCCGCCGGGTTCACTGCCGTCATGCCGTGGCTGGCCGTGGGGGATGAGGGGCTTCCAAGCTTTGTTCAAGGGGAGAGCGTGGCACTGAGTGCAGTGGAGCTGTACGAGGTGAGGTGATGGGGTGCCGTGAGGGGGAGAGAGACTGTGGCTTCACTGCCGTCATGCCGTGGCTGGCCGTGGGGGACGAGGGCCTGCCAACGTTTTCTCAAGGGGAGAGTGTGGCACTGAGTGCAGTGGAGCTGTATGAGGTGAGGCCGTCACTCAAGTCCCTCGCCATGTGAGCTGAAAGCTGCTATGTACCAGCTTGACTGCAGTCATGCCGTGGCTGGCAGTGGGAGCTGCCAACGTTTTCTCAAGGGGTGTGGCAGTGAGCGCAGTGGAGTTGTACGAAGTAAGGCCCTCACACAGCTCGCCCGCTTCACTGCTGTCCTGCCGTGGCTGGTGGTGCGGATGAGGGGCTGCCAAGCTTTGTGCAAGGGGAGAGCGCCGCTCCGAGTGTAGTGGAGCTGCACGAGGCGAGTCAAGGTTGTTCTGCCATTATGTGGTGTGCGGCAAGCTGTATCCGCTGTCGTGAAGGGGAGACTGTGCCTTCACTGCTGTCCTGCCTGCCGTGGGTGGCAGTTTTGATAAGGGACTGCCGACCTTTGTTCAAGGGGAGAGTGTGGTTTATATTGGTGAGCACGGAGCCCCACTCTCCCCTTGCAGGTGGGCAGCGGGGTTGCATGAGGTGGTGACTGTGGGTTCACTGCCATCATGCCGTGGCTGGCTATGGGGGACGAGGGGCTGGCTGCTGTCCTTTGTTCAAGGGGAGAGTGCGGCTCTTATTGCGGTGGAGCTGCATGAGGTGAAGTGTGAAGGTGCTATGCTCTGACTGAATGTTGTGCAGCAAGCTGCTATCTGTCGGGTTCACTGCTGTCCTGCCGTGGCTGGATGGCGGAGGCCCGTGGAGAATGAAGAACTGCCCAAAGGGAGATTGTGGCTCTTATTGCAGCGGAGGTGGAGGTGCTGCATGAGGTGAGCTGATGGGGTGCCTGTGAGGGGGAGAGAGACTGTGGGTTCTCTGCTGTCATGCCGCGGCTGGCTGTGGGGATTGAATCAGTGCCCAACTGCCCAATGGGAGAGTGTGGCTCTTATTGCAGCGGATGTGGAGGTGCATGAGGTGGGTTTATGATGTGAGGTGTATCACCGCTTTGAACCCCTTGCCCTCGAACCCCCTTGCTTGCGCCCCATCACCAGGGTTGCGCCTCCCCTCCGGACAGCAAGCTTACAGAAACCGAGCTGATTGGACTCATGGAGTGACACGGCATTGGGACTGATGCCTCCAGCCTTTTTGAAACACCAGTTTTAGACCGTGCACAACCCCGTCCAATCCCAGAGAGCGAGCTGATTGGACTCAAGACTCATGGAACGACACGGCATTGGGACTGCCGCATCCATTCCTGTTCATATCAACAATTTGAGCCCCTCTAAACCCATTCCTACCCATTGGTACCGCATCACCAGGGCCACACCTCCCCTCCGGACTACCTGACAGAGAGTGAATTGATTGGTCAGATGGAGCGACACGGCATTGGGACTGACGCGTCCATTCCCGTTCACATCAACAACATCTGCGAGAGGAACTACGCGCAGGTAGGGATGTGTGGGGGGTGGGGGGTGGGGGTGGGGGTGGGGTGGGGGTGGGGGTGGGGGTATAGGAAAGTGTGGGGTCCTGTTGTAATGTGGAGCATTGGGACTGACGCGTCCATTCCTGTGCACATCAACAACATCTGCGAGAGGAACTACGCGCAGGTAGGGATGTGTGTGTGGGGTGCGGGGGGATAGGGAAGTGTGGGGTCCTGTGGTAATGTACGGTGGGGCATTGGGACGGATGCCTCCATCCGTGTGCACATCTACAACATCTGCGGGGTGTTTTGGAGAACTCTCAGGGTGTTTTGGAGAGCTCTCAGGGTGTTTTTGAGAAATCTCAGGGTGTTTTGGAGAAATTTTCAGGATGTTTTCGAGAATTCTCAAAAACACCCTACAAAATTGGGGCGGATGCCTCCATCCCTGTGCACATCTACAACATCTGCGGCATGCCCTTGTAGGTAGGGTGTGTTTATTGGGTTGGGCTGGGGCGCGGCAACATTTCAGTCAGCCCTTTTCTAAAACGCATCCGCCCTCCATCGTATCTATCTCTCCGTTCGTTCACATACATTGTCCCACCACGCTCGGCACCAGTCTATTGCGCAGGTACCTGCACTGCACAGCATGGGTAGGCCTTAACCCACACCACACTACTCCTGCACCCTCATGGAAGTGATATATCAAGGATCCTTGGGGCCCAACTCATTGAAAAGGGATCCTTGGGATCTCACTTATGTGCTATGTGACCCTGTTGCACGGGTACCGGCACTGCACAGCACATCTAGGCCTTAATCCACACCACACTACACCTGCACCTCATCTCCTCTCTCCTCTCCCACACCACAGATCGCAACCGGCCGAAGGATCGTGCTCATCACTCTCGGCGCCACTCTCGACACCTCCCTCGGCACCACCCTGGATCGCGGGTACCAGCAGATGTAGCCTTCATTTATACCGTAACCCACCCCATCCCCCAGCAACTCTCCTCCCTTCCCCCTTTAACAGGTGGCAACCGGCCGAAGGATTGACCCTGCCACCCTCGGCAGTTCCATAACCTGCAGGTACCAGCACATTTAGGCTCTCATGACATTCCCCCCATTCCCCTCAACCACTACCCCCCCCCCCCCCCCCCCCCCTTCAACAGGTAGCAGCCGGCGAAGGATCGTCCCCACCACCCTCAGCACCACCCTGGTTCGCGGGTCCCAGCAGATGTAGCCTTCATTCACACCTTAACCCACCCCATCCCCCCCCCAACTTTTCTCCTCCCTTCCCCCTGTAACAGGTGGCAGCCGGCCGAAGGATCGTCCCCACCACGCTTGGCACCACCCTCGTGCGCGGGTACCAGCAGATCGATCCGGACCTTTGCTTGCCGGACATCCGACGGTTCATAGAGCAGCAGATCACGCTGATAGCGCAGGGCAAGGCGGATCATTCCCGAGTGGTGACCCTGGTGCTGCAGCAGTTCTTTGAAAAGTTCAAGTACTTCGTCAGCCAGGTGCGCTTGCTGGTGGCCAGTTGTGTTGAATGTTGTCAGTCAAGCTGATCTATGAGAGGGTCTGAGAGCAAGGCGGATCATTCCAGAGTAATGACTCTGGTGCTGCAGCAGTTCTTTGAAAAGTTCAAGTACTTCGTTAGTCAGGTGGGTGTTGGATGTCAGTGAATTAGGGGCTCTGGGCTGTATGAGCGTCACCGAGGGCAACGCGGACCATTCCCGAGTGGTGACCCTGGTGCTGCAGCAGCTCTTTAGAAGTTCAAGTACTTCGTCAGCCAGGTGGGTGGGTATTAGGTAGTGACGCATGAGGCATGGTTCTCGCTTGCAGGACACCCATACGGTGGTCTTGGAAGGTCGATCCCGGCAGAGTGGTGGCTTTGGTGCTGCAGCAGTTCTTTGAGAAGTTCAAGTACTTCGTCAGCCAGGTGGGTGTGGTTGTGGGTAATTCATCCAGATATGAGATGCCTCAAGGGCAATGCACATCATTCCAGAGTCGTGACTCTGGTGCTGCAGCAATTCTTTGAGAAGTTCAAGTACTTCGTCAGCCAGGTGGCTCCTTGTCAGCCAGGCCAGGTTGGTGGGTTGTTTGAGGCATGAGGCATGACCTTTGCTTGGAGGACACTCATACGAACGTCCTCCTCTTGGAAGGCGAACCATGGGAGAGTGGTGACCCTCGTGCTCATGGCTCATGGCTCATGGCTCGTGGCTCGTGGCTCGTGGCTCATGGCTCGTGGCTCGTGGCTCATGGCTCGTGGCTCATGGCTCATGGCTCATGGCTCATGGCTCATGGCTCATGGCTCATGGCTCATGGCTCATGGCTTGTGGCTCATGGCTCATGGCTCGTGGCTCATGGCGGCTCATGGCTCATGGCTCATGGCTCATGGCTCATGGCTCGTGGCTCGTGGCTCATGGCTCATGGCTCGTGGCTCGTGGCTCGTGGCTCGTGGCTCGTGGCTCGTGGCTCGTGGCTCGTGGCTCGTGGCTCGTGGTTCATGGCTCATGGCTCATGGCTCTTGGCTCATGGCTTGTGGCTCATGGCTCATGGCTCATGGCTCATGGCTCATGGCTCATGGCTCATGGCTCATGGCTCATGGCTCATGGCTCATGGCTCATGGCTCCTGGCTCGTGGCTCGTGGCTCGTGGCTCGTGGCTCGTGGCTCGTGGCTCATGGCTCATGGCTTGTGGCTTGTGGCTTGTGGCTCATGGCTCATGGCTCATGGCTCATGGCTCATGGCTCATGGCTCATGGCTCATGGCTCATGGCTCATGGCTCATGGCTCATGGCTCATGGCTCATGGCTCATGGCTCATGGCTCATGGCTCATGGCGCATGGCGCGTGGCTCATGGCTCATGGCTCATGGCTCATGGCTCATGGCTCATGGCTCATGGCTCATGGCCCATGGCTTGTGGCTCATGGCTCATGGCTCATGGCTTGTGGCTCGTGGCTCATGGCTCATGGGTTGTGCGTTAGGATCGACCAGTGCCTTCTATCTTCCTTTTCCACTCTTCTCTTTCTCCCTCTCAGATTGCTCGCTTGGACTCCCTCTTCGAGGCGCATTTCTCCCCCCTAGCCGCCTCCGGCAAGTGCCAAGGGGCGCTGTGGCAAGCACATCTGAACCTCACACATTGCAATACATGCTACTCTCCCTCACTCCCCCCTGCACTCAGATTGCCAGAATGTACTCCCTCGTTGAGCCTCGTTGAGTCTCTCTGAGGCGCTTTTCTCCCCGCCAGCCGCCTCCGGCGAGACCATCGGGCGCTGTGGAACATGCGGCCGCTTCATGCTTCCTTCCCTGCCACTCCTCTGCCCCCCCCGCAGATTGCTTGCATCGCATGGGCTCCCTCTTGAGGTGCACTCCTCCCCTCTAGCCGCCTCCGGCAAGCACCAAAAGGCCCTGTATCAAGCGCGGTCACCTTGACTTGTTTCAGTACCGCCTCCTCTCCTCCTCTCCTCCTCTCCTCCTCTCCTCCTCTCCTCCTCTCCTTCCCCCTTCAGACTGCTCACATGGACTCTCTGTTCGAAGCTCATTTCTCCCCCGCTAGCCGCCTCCGGCAAGCCCATGGGGCGCTGTGGCAAGTGCATCTGAACCTCACACGTTGCAACACACCCTCCCCCTTCCTCCCCACCCCCCCCGCCCTCAGATTGCTCGCATGGACTCCCTCTTTGAGGCGCACTTCTCCCCTCTAGCTGCCTCCGGCAAGCCCATGGGGCGCTGTGGCAAATGTGGCCGCTTCATGCGCTTTGTGCCGATGAAGCCCACCAGGCTGTTCTGCCCCACCTGTGAAGACATTTTCAACCTGCCGCAGAACGGCGCCATCAAGGTAAGCAGCCTTGGGCTACACCCTTGGGTCTCAACCCTTCTTGGTTCTTGTGGCAAATGCGGCCGCTTCGCATGCTTCGTGCCACTAAAGCCGACACGCCTGTTCTGCCCCACCTGTGAAGTTATCATCTTTTTTTTTTTTCGAGAACGGAGCCATCAAGGTAGGCAGCCTTGGGTTAGCCCCACGGGGCGCTGTGGGAAGTGCAGTGACTTCATGCGCTTTCTGCCCCTGAAGCCCACAAGTCTTTTCTGCCCCACCTTTTCCCCCTTTTCTCAAAATTTCTCTCCCACCATTCCACCCAGCTCTACAAGGAGCTGACCTGCCCGCTTGACAACTACGAGCTCGTTCTTTACTCTCTGCCCGGGCCTGAGGGAAAAACTTTTCCACTCTGCCCGTACTGCTACAACCATCCTCCTTTCGAGGACCTGGGAAAGCCAACCACCAAACCTGCCGCCGAACCTGCTTCCGGGCCTGCCTCCCAAGCCTCGTCCAGAACAGGCTCGTCAGTCTTCAGTGGCATGGCCTGCACGAGCTGCCGCCACGTGTCGTGCCGCCATTCGCTGGTGAGCATGGGCGTGTGCCCCTGCCCCGAGTGTGAAGGCACTTTGGTCCTAGACCCTGTAAGCGCCCCCAAGTGGCGGCTGGATTGCAACCGCTGCAGCTGCGTTGTTTTCATAAAAGCCAATGTGCACCGGATGTCAGTGGTTCCCATGTTTCCGTTTGGCGCGTCCGGCTCTTTGCTAAAGGCCCAGCAGCAGCAGGGGCAGGGGCAGGGGCAGCAGGGGCAGCAGGGGCAGCAGGAGGGGCAGAAGGAAGGTGGCTGGTGCCCAGAGTGCGGATCTGCCCGCATAATCGAGGTGGATTTTCACAAGGATGCCTCGCCGTTACCCGGCGGTGCTACAGTGCATCGAGGGTGTGTGTTGTGCGATGAGCTGTTACTTTCACTACTGGAGATGAACCATGGGAGGGTCTTCTATGGGAGGAGAGGGAGGGGAAGGGGAAGAGGAAGGGGTCGAGGGGGTCGAGGGAGGGGCCGTGGGAGGGGGAGAGGCAAGGATGAGGACGTTAGGCTAAGCTTCAGGGATTTTTAGAATTTGTGATGTTTGTCGGTGCTTTTCAAATTCTTGTACGAGATGCCTCCACTACAAAATGTTCTGATGCTTGCCAACGAATTTTATTGTAGGGTGATATGCACAACGGCCTAACAGATACTTAATGCCTATGTCACCGACACTATTGGACCAGCTGTTATCGAAGACAACCTTTAAACAGATGGGGGGAGTGGCTCAAGTTTCTCACACCTCATTACAAGCAGCTGCGTCAAGCGCGGCAGTCGCCCCAAGCCTTCTGGCAGATTTGCCAGCTTATGGCACCGGTTCAACACCAGCCTTTCTAGTGTCGACAGCTGCCCGAGTGACTCGGGCAGGCAGCGGAGAGAAACCAACCAATCGAGCTCCAGCACGCGCAACTGAGGCAGTTGCCCGATATTCTCGGGCAGCTCAACCAGGCGGAATAAATCTCGCAAGGTTAGGCGACGAAGTAAAGGGAGCGTAGCGAGAGAAAGAGGTAAGCAGTAGAGCGTAGTACTGCCTTCTAACTCAAGCTCTCTAACGCTCGGCAAAACCTGGGCTATGTTTGAAGGCAGAGACGCGAGCTCAAGGCACGGTGCGATCGTTAGATGCGTGAGCGGCGCGAGCTGAAAACACTGAGGAAGGCTGGACGCGCTGGTCCCATGCAGAAAACGAAGCTGCTCCAAACGCGTACAGCCGCTAGCCAGCGCCGCTAACCCCGTCTCGCTCACATCCCCCGGCGACATTCTGCGAATCGTCAGGCGCGTCAGGCGAGGGCAGTGCGACGCTAGATCAGCGATAAAAGCGTCGTCCACGCGTCGCAGGCTCCTTGCATCCAGGTGAAGCGCCGTTAGACGCGGGAAGGCGGAAGCGGAGATCTGGAGGGGGAGAGTGCGCGGATCGAGTTGGCGGCTTGCGCGGACGAGAATAGAGGAGCGCGACTGGCGGGCGAGGCGGAACCAGGAGGAACAGACGAGCGCGTAGTTAAACGGGGGGGAGCGAGAGGGGGGAGGCGGGGGAGACGGGGGGTGGAGGGACTGCGAGAGGCGGGAGGAGGAGGAGAGCGGGCGGGTCTCCTCGTGGGGAGAAGGGACGAAGGCGTCTTGAGAACAACTCGCTTCTTCCCAAGACTCAACCAAATCGAAGATCCGCTGGAGAAGCTCGGACGAGAGGGTGTCGATGGGGCACGAGTCGGCCGCGGAGCTTTGCGAAACGGGGACGGTAACGGGGACGGTAACGGGAACGGTAACGGGGACGGTAACGGGGACGGTAACGGGGATGGGAAGGCGTGATAGGGAAGCGTGAAGCTTGACTAGTGACGCCACCTCGCAGCGTCCGCCATCGCTGGTAGAACAAGCTTGAATGCTGCTGGTTACCAGCAGCTCTTCCCCCGCGCTTTCTGTCTCAGCGGGAGCAGCGCTACTACTACTGCCACTCGCGCGTCGCTTCTGAGGGTACGGGGCCTCGGTGCTCCAAGTCTCGCCAGCCATAGCTGAAGGCGTAGTACCGATTGCGTGGAAAATGGCTACACGACGGATCGGTTCCGCCGACTGACACAGCCTGTGTGTTATACAAAGATTCCCGCGGAGAGCCACAAAGAGCCGCGGAAGACAGGCGTCCGCGAATGACTACGCCCAACGAGATGACCTCTGATTGAACATACTATCCGCGTGGCTAGCTCGTGTCCGGAAACTGTTTATGTGACTCCGCACGACTGCACATCGAAGGCTGCATCCCCTTCAAGGATTGCCTTCCATGGCGGTGGACGACAGAAACTGCTCTAAGCCGCCTCTCAATGCTCTCAGTGCTTCATAACTCTCCGCTTGGCAAGGTTAACAAGGTCTCTACGCCGGATCCGAATCCGCTTTGACTGAAAACCCTCTCGGCCAGGCCTTTCACGAGAGCATCTCGTGTCCCTCCGCCGGAAGAGACGGCTCGGAACGGAATTACGAGGTTCTTCCGCCGCTGCTTTTCTCTCTCTCTCCCGCGCTCTCGGTCGCCGCGGGGACCGGCGGTTTCGGACACGAGGGCCTCCCGCGGAGGTGGCACGCAACTGGCCATTTGCGGCGGGACGACAGTTCCAATTGCGAATGTTCGCGCGAGCGAGAGCAACATATGCAGCTCGTCTTGGCCGCAGCATGCGATCACTTCGCAAGGTGGTGTTACCAGGTAACTCATTGCCGCCAAGCCAACTGCAGCCGTTTGGGCTGCGGGGCTTTGTGCTCGGCACGAGTGAGAACGACCTCCGAGGCGCGAGGGGATAGCGATTCGAAACAGAATCTAGGAACCTCCTAAGCAGTGAAAGGACAGCCGTCGATTTGTCAGAGATGAGGCTGAGCCTGAAAATACGTTTCAGATTGGGAAGGCGAGGAGGATGTGGTGTGGTGTCACTGGTGAGGTGTGGTGTGGAGGACAGAGCTTGACATGCAGCGCAGACTGTGCGTCGCATGGACGGCGCGTGGCGGGCTGACGCCTGGCGTAAGGTATGCGACGCGCTGGATTGGATGCACTGCCATGCAGCTGTCTCAAACCACAGTTCAGTGGG